GCACCGTCCACAGGGTATGGCATGGCGTTGCAAAATGGAGTGATAGCCTTCCTTCTTCAAGATCCCTTTTACCCTGTACAAATCTCCCACTTTACCACCACCAAAGCACCCCCAGACCATCATATTGCCTCCACCATGCTTGACAGATGGCATCAAGCACTCCTCCAGCATCTTTTCATTTGGTCTGCGTCTCACAAATGTTCTTCTTTGTGATCCGAACACCTCAAACTTCGATTTGTCTGTCCATAACACTTTTTTCCAATCTTCCTCTGTCCAGTGTCTGTGTTCTTTTGCCCATTTTAATATTTTCTTTTTATTGGCCAGTCTGAGATATGGCTTTTTCTTTGCAACTCTGCCTAGAAGGTCAGCATCCCGGAGTCGCCTCTTCACTGTTGACGTTGAGACTGGTGTTTTGCGGGTACTATTTAATTAAGCTGCCAATTGAGGACCTGTGAGGCGTCAGTTTCTCAAACTAGACACTCTAATGTATTTGTCCTCTTGCTCAGTTGTGCACCGGGGCCTCCCACTCCTCTTACTATTCTGGTTAGAGCCAGTTTGCGCTGTTCTGTGAAGGGAGTAGTACACAGTGTTGTTCGAGATCTTCAGTTTCTTGGCAATTTCTCGCATGGAATAGCTTTCATTTCTCAGAACAAGAATAGACTGACGAGTTTCAGAAGAAAGTTATTTGTTTCTGGCCATTTTGAGCCTGTAATCGAACACACAATTGCTGATGCTCCAGATACTCAACTAGTCTCAAGAAGGCCAGTTTTATTGCTTCTTTAATCAGCACAACAGTTTTCAGCTGTGCTAACATAATTGCAAAAGGGTTTTCTAATGATCAATTAGCCTTTTAAAATGATAAACTTGGATTAGCAAACACAACGTGCCATTGGAACACAGGACTGATGGTTGCTGATAATGGGCCTCTGTACGCCTACGTAGATATTCCATTAAAAATCAGCCGTTTCCAGCTACAATAGCCATTTACAACATTAACAATGTCTACACTGTATTTCTGATCAATTTGATGTTATTTTAATGTACAAAAAAATTGCTTTTCTTTCGAAAACAAGGACATTTCTAAGTGACCCAAACTTTTGAACGGTAGTGTACATTCTGTATTACCTAAAATTATAAATCCCATATTGGTCTTTCACAGTCAGGCCAACCCAAGCTGTACTGTGCAAGTAGGCTAATAGTAGGTATACTATTGAAACAGATACATTAGGCTGTCAACTGAGTCAGAAAATAAAGGTTACATTTTGTTTTATAGAAAAACAACAAAATTGGATGTTCTAAGTCCATAACAATGCTTAAACCACATCAGGAGACCACTTTTGAGGTCTGGGAAATATCTAAGATAAAACCATGTTTGTGTATTTACCCTTTAATTCAAGTGTGCAGGCACCTAGCACTGTTGTTTCGTTAGTGGTGTTTCTGTAGCACATGAGATGGAGTTTGCAAGACAAATGGCCACTGGAATAATGCAAATAATCATGATATCATTCTGCCATGTAGGCATAGGCTACTTTGTAGCTAGTTAACCTTTAATTGACAAGGTTTTTGGGAAAGCCTTTCCATCTACCAGAAGACAGTTAGGCCTATCATTAGCATCGCTATATTTGTCCTGTTCCTTAATTGTTTGAAACCTAGATGTTTTACTTCATATTATGAGGCATGTCTTACCATTGCTTCAAAGTAGCCTATAGCCAAAATCCCACCATAGAAACATGGAGGCAATTATTTTATAAAGACTTCCTCATTTGCGTTCTCCTATTCTATTGGTTTTCTTTAAACTTTGTTTCATTGTCCAGCAGCCAAAGGCATTATCCTACTCATATTAGCAACCAATGATGGTTGTTGCATCTTTAGATCTCCCCGCTATCTACATTTCTAATGGATATTTCAAGCTCCGTCAATGAAACCGCTCACGTGCGGTGTGCATTTTAGAATGGTGTTTTCCTGCTAATTGCATTTTGGAACATTCCTGTGTAGGTCTACCGCCGTGTGCACATTGCTGCATCTAAAATGTGAAGAAATAATAGTTTATCAACATTTTAAGCTAAACATTCTGATCTGTTCCATCAGCCTAATTAATTGATACAGCGTATACCTCCACTACACTACTTTTATAGCCTATGCATTGTGGGGATTAAGAAGTATACGCAAGTGGGTATACAGTGTAAACCTGCACATACCCTCCACTACACACACCACTGAGGCCCGCTATTTGTAGTGTTTATGTAGATAAATTATAGTTTTTCTCATGAACTTGAATTAAAAAGTGTGCTGTAATAAGTGGTGGGTAGATCTTGTCAAGAATAAATGCATAAATGTCATAGGCCTACCTGAATTTATTTTGATGTATAGGCAACCCCTCTGTGATATTGTTTAATATTGTTTATAATGTTAGATTTTGCTATATAACACAATTAAAACTAAGCTGATAACCTATTTGTATTAATTTGTATGAGATAACATGAATGAATAAATAAATAAATGAATAAAATGTATTTGTTTTACATAATACGGAGGTGAGAAGACCTATTTATTTTGAACTAACTGCTAAGTGATATGGGCCACTGATAGATCAAATAGGATGTTGATAAATATCTTAGACTTTCAGCATCCGTAGGGTTTTTCAGCATTTTCATCAGTGAGTTGCCTATACATGCCATAGGACTTAAAGCCTTGGTTGTGAGACATTTTACCTCCTTGTTTATGTTGTCAGTAATCCAAGTTGGCCCACAACAATGATTAAGGTTGAACCCTAATAGTCAAGAAGAAAATCTACCATAGATAGACTGATTAGTCAAGAAGCAAATTTACTATAGACAGACCGTCAAGAAGCAAATCTACCATTAAGGTCTACAGACCGATTACCGCAAATAGACTGGGTTGGTTAAATGTGCTATGGCCTGTAACTGAAAGAGAAACCACAATGCTCCCTTCTCTGTTTGAGAGAGCTTCAGGGAATAGCAGCTGGGAATTTGCATTCATCTTTCAAATGTGAGTAGGCGATGAGAATATTTAGGTAAGCAAGTTGATGTGCTTATGTGTTTCTGAGTAACACACAAACCACTGGGCACAAACTGGATGAATCAACGTTGTTTCAACGTAATTTGTCAACATATGGTGACATGGAATCTACAGCTATTGTTTCAATTCAACCCAGGGTTCAACAAAAAATAGACCATACATATAGGCCTAGGGTTTCAAGCTTTGGTTGAGTTCAAATTGAATCTTCAAGTTAATCATTAAAATGTTGGACTCACGTCTCCATCTCAACCAAACATCATGGATAAAGAATAGGACTAAATCAAATTAAACTTTATTTAAAGTGCATTTAAACTTTGATTAGATTATATTTAGTCCTATTCTTTAATTTAGATTTTTGTTTGAGATGGAGACATGAATCCAACATGTATATTATTAATTTGTATACAAACTGGACATTGAATTGTGTTTGGTTGTCAATGCACCAAATATCAACATTTGAAGGACATATATATTCTGCTTGGATAGTTCCATCTGTGCTACTGAATTAGTCTGCCTTTAATTCCAGTTTGTCTACAAATTAATAATTGATATGTTGGATTCAAACCTCCATCTCAACCAAGAATCAAAGGTAAATAATAGGACTAAATCAAATCAAACTTTAAATGCACTTTAAATAAAGTTTTATTTGATTTAGTCCTATTCTTTAACTTTGATTCTTGGTTGAGATAGAGACGTGAATCCAACATATCAATTTTAATTTGTAGACAAACTGGAATTAACGCCAGACTAAGTCAGTGGCACAAAATATACATCTCCTTCAAATAGTGATATTTGGTTGCGTTGACAACAAAACACAATTCAATATCACTTTTGCGATACAGTAAATAGCCTATTAACTTGTCTCCAAGTTAACAAATCGTATGTTGGATTCACGTCTCCAACTAAACCAAAAATAAACGTTAAAGAATAGGATTAAGCCAGTGGCTCAGATGAAACTATCAAAGCATTCGATATCCTTTAAATGTTGATATTTGGTTGTGTTGTCAACCAAACACAATTCATTATTAATTTTGTAATAGAGTAAATAGCCTAAAATTAAGGCTATCTTACAAACTAAAGTAACAGTATTTATTCAACCTTAAAATGAGTGACACATCCATGGTCACATGGATGTGAGGTTAGCCTACTGTAACTATAAATGTATTCTTGTGTAATCATAGAAAGTGTGCATGTTCAAGATAGCATGCAAATGGTGCAGGTCTGTGGAGATCTTCACAATTGCTATAATAATCTGTGCAGAATCTCGAACAGCATTGATCACATCCTCCTTACTGCTCCTGTTCACAGTCATTATCTCCTTCTTCATAGCTTCTCCTTGCATGGAACACTCCTGCATCTCAGGCCCTCACCACCATCTCTCTGGTGAATTCACGGGTGGTCAATCACATTGCCTGTTCAATCTTGTTTCTTTCACTGTGAGTCACAATTCCCTGAACTTTAGCTATTGCATTGTCTAGGCGTGTCAGGTGAATTCAGCACATGGCTCTAATGTATAGATGTAATGTGTGCTATATTTGCCATGTGTGCTTGGGTGTTAAAGAAAAATGGCTTCTGCTCTGCTGGACAATCTAAGATGGCATTATTATTGAGTTATTACATAATAACAAGTAATAGATTTTGACTTTTGAGCACCAAGTAGTCTAATGATGATCACCCTATTTTCAATCAAGTTTAACTTGTTTGGTAAGAAAACCAACAGTTGATGGTACGGTCAAAGTATACGTGTCATTGGTCCAGTGAAGCTTGCTACCGAGGTCTAAAAAGCCTAGATTTGACTAAATACCTATCAGACCCCAGTCTGTTCATTTTGTATTACAGTAAAGTTTATTTTCCTAGAAACGTATAAAAACGCCACCGAGTTCAAATATGTCGCAATTCTTCAAGCAACAACTCACCTGCAAGGGGAACGCCTTACCTGATAAGTGACGTCACACAGCAGGACAGCAAATGTAGGTGTAACCCATTTTACGCAAAGCGAAAGAACTACACATAGGTCCAACGCCATAAAGTCGCGATTTGTGCCAATTTTAGGTCAGTTAGATAGTTTATCGTTTGAGACAGTTTACCGATGCTGAAAATAATCCAGTAAAGGCATGACTTTATCAACGGTCGGCTGTGCTCTGCAGTTTTTGGGGATCGCGTCCGCCGTTTTCGTTCTATTAGGTAAGTCACTACTTAGCCCTTGATCATGACTCTCAGTTCCATTACATTACACATAAAATGGGAGTTTTGTTAAGAGCCGCGATGCTCGGTCTGAACCTTAACAAGCGTCGCTTGCGGTAAGGTTTTGGAAGCATAAGGACCTCATCTTTCATTTCGGCGATTTATTTTATTTTATTTTATATATATTTTTTAAAAAAATGTTAAATTGATACACATCTTTATAGGGTTAGGGTTCCCACACAGTCATACTTCCATGTTATAGATTCAAGACAGAGTGGACTACCTGTGCTAATTAACTATCTGCTTCTCCTAACACCTGTGTGTAGGTGGAAGACAGACGCCACAAACATGTTGTCACTGAAAAATACTGTCTGCTGCAACTGTGTTAAAAACAATTAAAACTGAACAGTACAGTCAATTTGTACATTTCACATTCGTGAAATGATTTTAACGTGACATGAAATTAGAGGGATTTATGGTTCTAGAACCGTAACGTAATTGAGATTCGATTCACGTTTAGATGGAGTATTTGGCTGTTTTGGCTTCCAGCGCCAACCCATTAAACAGAACATGTAAGGTTCTTGAACTAAGGAGTAACGTTAGGCTCCTTTAGACCAATGTAGGGCTATTTGGTAATAGTTTTAAACATTTAGAAGTAAACCGTAATACATTTGTGATTATTATGATTCTGTAAAAAAAAAAGAAAAAAAGCTGAAGAATAGGGAATTTATTTTAGTTCCTTTTTATTTTTATTTATAGGTCATTGCAATTGTCCCTTTACTATAAAGATTGAAATGTAGATATGTATACAATGATATGTTCTTTGAAATGGTGCCTGTGATAACACTTACTGATGGACACTAACAGTATTATGAAGTTGCAGGGATATTCTTGAATTGGATGAGGATGTATTCTATAAGTAGACTACACATTAAATCATTGTTGTTGACAGTGGCACAACCACACACAGACCTTTGAAAAGCCAGTCAGTTTCCTAAAACAAAAGTGTGTAGATGGGATGCAGATGACAGACAACATAGATGTTGGAGATAATCAAATGACTGGCCCATGTTGTGCTTTATGAATAAACATAGGAAAACATCATTAATGCATGAGTCTGGTTCAGTGGATAAATAGGAATGATGGGAGGACTGTTGAATGCATTGGTTCTATCCAAAGGCCAACTAACTAAGGAAAGAACTTCCAACTCATCTAATATTTTATTAGGAATCAGGTGGAACAATGGCTTACCAGTGTCTATACATAGACCAGGGCAACTGAGTTTGCATTGAAGATTACAGTGGGGGGCAGTATTTGCATAGGTCAGACAATAGGATCAGCATCAGAAAAACAAGGAGGACGAGGACCAGGCACTCTTCATATACAGTTGAAGTCGGAAGTTTACATACACCTTAGCCAAATACATTTAAACTCATTTTTCACAATCCCTGACATTTAATCCTAGTAAAAATTATTAGGTCAGTTAGGATCACCACCTTATTTTAAGAATGTGAAATGTCAGAATAATAGTAGAGAGAATGATTTATTTCAGCTTTTATTTCTTTCATCACATTCCCAGTGGGTCAGAAGTTTACATACACTCAATTAGTATTTGATAGCATTGCCTTTAAATTGTTTAACTTGGGTCAAACGTTTCAGGTAGCCTTCCACAAGCTTCCCACAATAAGTTGGGTGAATCCTGGCCCATTCCTCCTGACAGAGCTCGTGTAACTGAGTCAGGTTTGTAGGCCTCCTTGCTCGCACACGCCTTTTCAGTTCTGCCAACACCTTTCTATAGGATTGAGGTCAGGACTTTGTGATGGCCACTCCAATACCTTGACTTTGTTGTCCTTAAGCCATTTTGCCACAACTTTGGAAGTAGGCTTGGGGTCATTGTCCATTTGGAAGACCCATTTGCGACCAAGCTTTAACTTCCTGACTGATATCTTGAGATGTTGCTTCAATATATCCACATAATTTTCCTTCCTCATGATGCCATCTATTTTGTGAAGTGCACCAGTCCCTCCTGCAGCAAAGCACCCCACAGCATGATGCTGCCACCCCCGTGCTTCACGGTTGGGATGGTGTTCTTTGGCTTGCAAGCACCCCCTTTTTCCTCCAAACATAACGATGGTCATTATGGCCAAACAGTTATATTTTTGTTTCATCAGACCAGAGGACATTTCTCCAAAAATATCTTTGTCCCCATGTGCAGTTGCAAACCGTAGTCTGGCTTTTTTTATGGCGGTTTTGGAGCAGTGGCTTCTTCCTTGCTGAGCGGCCTTTCAGGTTATGTCAATATAGGACTTGTTTTACTGTGGACATAGATACTTTTGTACCTGTTTCCTCCAGCATCTTCACAAGGTCCTTTGCTGTTGTTCTGGGATTGATTTGCACTTTTCGCACCAAAGGCTGCGTGGTCCCATGGTGTTTATACTTGCGTACTATTGTTTGTACAGATGAACGTGGTACCTTCAGGCGTTTGGAAATTGCTCCCAAGGATGAACTAGACTTGTGGAGGTCTACAATTTTTTTTCTGAGGTCTTGGCTGATTTCTTTTGATTTTCCCATGATGTCAAGCAAATAGGCAGTGAGTTTGAAGGTAGGCCTTGAAATACATCCACAGGTTGGCTCCAATTGACTCAAATTATGTCAATTAGCCTATCAGAAGCTTCTAAAGCCATTACATCATTTTCTGGAATTTTCCAAGCTGTTAAAGGCACAGTCAACTTAGTGTATGTAAACTTCTGACCCACTGGAATTGTGATACAGTGAATTACAAGTGAAATAATCTGTCTGTAAACAATTGTTGGAAAAATTACTTGTGTCATGCACAAAGTAGATGTCCTAACCAACTTGCGAAAACTATAGTTTATTAACAAGAAATTTGTGGAGTGGTTGAAAAACAAGTTTTAATGACTCCAACCTAAGTGTATGTAAACTTCCGACTTCAACTGTAATTAAAATGTCTTAGAGTGCCTTGGTCCTCCTTGTTTTTCTGATGACCAAATAACCCCTTTACCAAGAGCACCTTCAATTTACACATATCTACTATTGTATCCTAGCAGCACTTCCCCTTGTTCTTTTTTCTACAATCTGTAGGAGCAGTTTGGTTTGTAATAATATAGCTAGGTTGGCGGAATAATGTTTAGTCAAGCCCCAGTAAGTTGTGGCTTACACATCTTATCCCAGTGTCAACAGTGACAGCTGGACTGTAATAGCTGTACGTGTAACAGCGAGGGACAAACAGGGCTTCCCAGTAACATCTCCATTGTCAAACAGTCACACAATCAGATTATATCTTGGCTATGTTACTAGGTAAGGTTTCGGGAAAAGCATAAGCAGCTATAAGCATAAGTCAGACCGATAGAGGGAGAGAGCGCTTGTGTATGTGTGTGTGCTTCAGAGAGAGAGGGAGAGGCAGAGGAAGAGAGTGATTGTCTAAAGATAAGAATGCAAAATCGACAGTGTATCAAATACTTGTTCTCCCCACTGTATATGGCAGTTTGAACTGTTGAACAACCAGGCCTATGTTTGTTCAGTAGGCCCTAGCTCACAGATGTGGGGCTGGTTAGCCATACAGGAAGTGGAGCCAAGCTGTTGACATCGATCATCTCCCTACACACTTTCTCAGTCATATGAGTATTTTCTAACACGCTGTGGCACATCTCCAAATGCACGTCAGGTCAGGCTGAGAAAAACATCAGTTGTGTTTTCTGTCTGCTGAATAGTAGTCCTACATGACAGTCAGAGAAACAATTGACATTGTTTTGTATTCTACGACTCTGTTTATGTTTTGTACAAATTGATATAGTTTTGATAGAGGTATTGTTATGTAAAATACCCATGTGGTATAGAACAACCCTGCCTGCCCCAACTGATGCCACTCTTCTACATAATTAATCAATCCCTTCCCTGGTTGTTGTTCATTCAGAGGGTGTGACACTGACCCTCACCCCTGACCAGGGATCTACTCTCAACATCAGCCAGAGTTCAGAGCGCAGCAGGGGGTCAAAGTGTACGGTATGCACCGGTACGGGCTTGAAAAGGTCATGCTCCAGGGCTGGAAGCGATTATGTGGTGCTACTGACAGACCCCAAAGCTGCTGTGAACATGGAGTTCACCTGCCCCAAACCAGAGGAAGTCTTCACTGTGGAGGTGGTCAGGGAAATAGGTAAGAACTCTCTATGAAATCTATAATGGTGGTGGTCCCATAGTATTTAGAGTGTCTATAGCTTGTCCACATGGTACAGAAATACAGTGTCATTACAGTATAGGCACATTGTACACTGTAGTTATATTGCTATTACATAGTGCTTGCAAGTGGGATACCTGTGTGCATTTTCGTAATAAATAGTCCATATGTGACTTTGTGTGAGCATACCTGTGTGTGCGTTTCTGTATTGACTTCCTCTGTAACTCCTACCCCCGTTTCACCAGATTGTACCACAAAGTCCTGTAATGGGGACATCACCCCCATTGAGTCTAGAACCGGAACGCTTCCACTGCAGAACTTCAACCGTACCTTTATCTGGAACCTGAAGGCCCCGGTTCCACGGGCGTTCCATTTGGACTTCACCCAGATGGGGCTGAGACAGATCCTGCCCTCTGAGAGATGTCCAGACCAGCACACATATACCCTGCTAGCCCTCCAGAGGACAGGGGAGGCTGCCATCGGGACGTACTGCAGGAACGGCAGCATCTCTGGGGCTCAGGTCCTGAACCAGGGCAGGCTCTCTCTGGAGGTCACTGGAGGACGGAAACTGAACCCCACAGTGTTCAACGTGTCTGTTGGAGAGGAAATCAAATGTGAGTTGGTCAGACAGTGGTTTCAGATAACTGACGTAAAATCACATTGTTATCATTTCGTTAATATAAATGGATTACTTATGTTTGTATGTTTTTAGTCATGGCCACAGACATGATTTAATTAACCTGGTTAACCTTGTATTTTCTGACACTTCAACATATCATTGTCCCTCAGCACTTGCCGTCCTCAAAGTGACTTTACCAGAAGGGACGTCGTCTTCGAAGTTGCTCTCTCCAAACTACCCGAACAGTTTCCCTGACGATGACCTGATGGAGTGGAAGTTTGTGGTCCCTCCCAAACACAACGCTACGGTTGTCTTCCTGGCTCAGACTCAGCCGCAGTGCCTGAAGAAGGAGCCGGCTGTGGAGTATCACCACGATAATGGGAGGTTCGCGGTGGTGAAGAAGCTGTCAGACCCCCAGCCGGCCAAACGCCGGGACTCCTTCTCCCTGATCCTAAGGAACTGTGAGATGAACAGGATCGGAGACGGCTCCACTGGTCTCTCCCTCCGCTTCCAGGTTTCAGCCAAGAGGAGAAGTCTTCCAGGTCGGTAAAGGACACTGAGTACAATGCACTAGATGGCTTTAGAAAAGTTTTCCCAAAACCCTCCTTGAGAACCCCCAGCAATTTGACTGACTTTATCTATTCCATTACCAGCATGCCTGATTCATCTGGTCAACTACATCAAGCTCTTGATTAGTTGAATCAGGTGTGCTAGTACTGGAATAGGGAAGTGGAATGGCTAGGTGTGCTCCAGGAAAGGTTTGGATTACACAGCTTTAGTAAAAAAGGTAAGAGGATGAATCATGTGTGAGTTGTGGAAAGCCCTGCTCTTTCCCTCTCAGTTCCTAACATGTATGAACACAGAAGGTAATCACGCAGCTTACGCAATATTTTACTTCTGGGTTAGGAGATTAGACAAGGTGTGACCGCAATCCATGCTTTGGTTTAGTTTCCCTTGCTCTGTTTGTAAAAAAACTTTGTAAAAACCTGTTTTTGCTTTGTCATTATGGGGTAGTGTGTGTAGATTGATGAGGAAAAAATTCATTGTATCCATTTTAGAATAAGGCTGTAACTTAACAAAATGTGGAAAAGGTGAAGGGGTCTGAATACTTTCCGAATGCACTGTATATTAGCATTTTTTGCTCATCATGTCCAAATTATCATAAAGTATCAAAGGGATGGGTGACCATCCCTTTAAGGCCAATTGTTGTGTTGTGTCGCAGGTATTTAGATTATGTAGTAGTAGTGGTAGTAGCTACTGTAGTTGTACTGATCCAACATATTACAATTCAATATAATAACATGGAGCTTTTAGATCTGTGGTAATTTGATAATCCACTCTGTCTTGTGGTTAATGTGTACAACCATAAAAGGGGATTACTGTAGATCACATATACAGATTTTAACAATGCCGATTGCCACCGGGGCAGACTCTTGGTATTCTTCTTCCTAAATGTGAAATCATTTTCTTAATTTTGCTGTGGGCCTGCGTGAGTTATAGTCAGTGGAAGTGGATGTGCAGCTACATGTATATGATTTGTTACTGTGACATACTTTGCAGTGTTGTGCAACGTGGACCTGAGGAAAGAGCGGAGGCTTTCCCTCCATCTTGAGAAGACCAACCCCATGTCTGACTGTGAGCTGAAGCTGAACTCTGTCATCCAGGAGAAAATCACTGTTCCCTCAGGGAAGATCTCTCAGCTGTCCTTCCAGGACTGCCCATGTCAGGACCTGCTACTGTCCGCCATCAGAATCATAGGTAACTAAGGCCTAACTAGCAACACTGCTCTGCTCTGAGTCATATAACCATAGGAATTATTATTAACACTATGATGCTCGCCCAGTCACTAACCTCTCATTGTGTTTGTCTGGCTTGACGTTGTAGAAGAATAACATGATATACCGTTCACCGTGTGTGAGTGTGGCCTTAAGCCCTAACTAAACAATCACTGCAATTCAATGCTACATTTTTGGCTTCCCTTACACTTTAAACAATATCTGGAGGGTGGTAATTAGGATGAACAAATACTTTGTCCTTCTTGAGATCCTAAGGCACCACAAACTCATGGTATATATTCAACGTTTGTATCCTTTACCTCCTCTCCATTTCTCAGAGTGCCCTCAGTGGAGGGGCTGCCCAGCAGCAGCAGCCCCTGTCCCTCTGACGGTGCCCGTCCTGGAGAGGTGTCTTCCCGCCCCCCTGGGCAGTGTCACCTGGATCCTCCGTCCCCCTCAGCATGGCACAGTAGAGCTCCTGCCCACTACTGGCAGCCTCAGGCAGTCCCTGCCAGAACACCCCTGCAACGGCTCAGTCACTCTCACCGTGGCCGAGGACGATGACGGCACCACCGTGGGTCAGTTCTGCCCTCAGGGAGCCATACATAAAGTCCAGGTTCACACCAACGTGTCCATTACAGCCTCAGCCTCGACCATGGGAGGGAAAGAGAGGTCGCCATTCTCTCATCCTTTACTCAATATCTCCTTCACCAGGGAGATTGCAGGTAATATTTTTTAATTAAAGATGTAACTGTGCTGTTATTGTGAAGTAGAAACGTCTAGGAGCAACAACAGCTCAGCCGCGAAGTGGTAGGCCAACACAAGCTCACAGAACGGAACCTCTGAGTGCTGAAGCGCGTAGGGCGTAAAAATCGTCTATCCTCGGTTGCAACACTCACTACCGAGTTCCAAACTGCCTCTGGAAGCAATGTCAGAACAATAACTGTTTGTCGGGAGCTTCATGAAATGGGTTTCCATGGCCGAGCAGCCGCACACAAGCCTAAGATCACCATGCGCAATGCCAAGCGTCGGCTGGAGTGGTGTAAAGCTCGCCGCCATTGGACTGCGTTCTCTGGAGTGACAAATCACGCTTCACCATCTGGAAGTCCGACGGAGGAATCTGGGTTTGGCGGATGCCAGGAGAACGCTACCTGCCCGAATGCATAGTGCCAACTGTAAAGTTTGATGGAGGAGGAATAATGGTCTGGGGCTGTTTTTCATGGTTCGGGCCAGGCTCCTTAGTTCCAGTGAAGGGAAATCTTAACGCTACAGCATACAATTACATTCTAGACGATTCTGTGCTTCCAACTTTGTGGCAACAGTTTGGGGAAGGCCCTTTCCTGTTCCAGCATGACAATGCCCCCGTGCACAAAGCGAGGTCCGTACATTAATGGTTTGTCGAGATCGGTGTTGAAGAACTTTATCTGGCCTGCACAGAGCCCTGACCTCAACCCCAACGAACACCTTTGGGATTAATTGGAACACCGACATCAAGCCAGGCCTAATTGCCCAACATCATTGCCCGACCTCACTAAGGCTCTTGTGGCTGAATGGATGCAAGTCCCTGCAGAAATGTTCCAACATCTAGTGGAAAGCCTTCCCATAAGAGTGGAGGCTGTTATAGCAGCAAAGGGGGGACAAACTCCATATTAATGCCCATGATTTTGGAATGAGATGTTCGACGAGCGGGTGTCCACATACTTTTGGTCATGTAGTGTATATAAAGTTACATCTTTTAATAAATTGTTTTATATAAAAGTAGTACTGTAACTGCAAATATGTTATTTTCCCCCTGATGTACACACAGAGAGATACATCTTCACGGTATGCCCAAAGAAAGGAGTCCCGACTCTCCTGGCCACCCCTAGTTGGCCTGTGGGAATGAAGTCCTACTCCACTGTGTCCTGGATCGTCGATGTCCCCTCCAAGCTGGAAGCCCACCTCATGTTCGCCAACATCAGCCAGCCCAAGTGCAGCAACCGCCACACGGGCATCAGGTACAATCAGAAAAGGATGGGCTACCCCTCTGAGACGTCCTCTCTAGGTTTCTTCATTCTAGGGAGTTTTTCCTGGCCACTGTGGTCTTGCTTCTGCCTTGCTTGGTCTTGGGGTCCAGGCCAGGTTACTGTAAAGCACTTTATGATAAGTGCTGTGAATAAATTGTGATTTGATCAGGGTGCAGAACCTTGGCTCCCTGGAGGAGATGTACAGCCGGCGGGAGGACGAGGAGGCAGACAGGAAGATCACTGTCTCAAAGAGCTTCTACCTCAACATGTCCAACTGTATGCCTGAGAGAGGAGACTTCAGTGTGCTCACACAGATCACACTGCACAAGGACAAGAGTGAGTGACCGACCATGTGGAGCAGTCATCATGATAAGCAGTGTTTTTCCATCTCCTCTCACTCCCTTCTTCCTCTGGCGCTCTCCATAAGTTGATGTTTGTTTAAAGTGAATTTGAAATTGCAGTGAAAATCTAACGTTCCATGTTTCTCAGCATTTCTCTATACCATTCTGATATTTTGTTCATTCTGGTCTTACTTCACTGAGTATATCAAACATTAGGAACACCTTCCTAATATTGAGTTGCACCCTCCCCCATTTTGCCCTCAGAACAAACTCAATTATTTGGGGCATGGACTCGCTCATTAGGTAGGATTAGGCAGCTGCCTATGGCGGCAGATTGACGAGGGTGGCATTTTCTGAGCTACAGTTGAAGTCTGAAGTCATTAAAACTTGTTTTTCAACCACTCCATAAATATCTTGTTAACAAACTATAGTTTTGGCAAGTCGGTTAGGACATCTACTTTGTGCATGACACAAGTAATTTTTCCAACAATTGTTTACAGTGTCACGCCCTGACCTATATAACTCTTGATTGTTGAGTCAGGGTGTGGAAATCTATGTTATAGATTCTATGTTTAGGTTCTAGTGAGTCTATTTCTATGTTTGGCCGGGTGTGATTCCCAATCAGAGACAGCTGTCGCTCGTTGTCTCTGATTGGGGATCATACTTAGGTAGCCTATTGCCTACTGTGTATTATGGGATCTTGTTCCATGTAGGCTTGTGTGTGTATAGCCTGAGGACTTCACGTTACGTTGTTTCTTGTTTTGTATGTTTATTGGGTGAATAAACATGTACGCTTTTCACGCTGCACCTTGGTCTGACCCGTCTCTCAACGTTCATGACAGAAAATCCCACCAAACGAGGACCAAGCAGCGTGCCCAGGAGGAGCAAACACCCTGGACACAGCGGGAGGCTACGTTGGTAGATGTCCTCCTCGGTTGGGGGAAAATCACTGAGGAGGAGGCCGTCCGTTACGGTAAGGCAATGAAGGAGGAAACCCGGGTAGGAGAGGATCAACGGTGACATCAACGGTGCTGGCCGAAGAGGAAGCCCAAGAAGCAGCCCCAAGAAAACAATTTTGGGGGGGCTCACGGGGTGGACCACGAGGCAGCAGGAGGCCGTGAAAGGGCTGACTAGAGAGGAGGAGGCCGCTATTTTAGAGGTCCTCCAAGACCTGCGGATCGAGAGTCTGAGAGAGGAGGCCACCACGTTACGGGGGCTGTTAGATCAGAGGGAGCAGGAGTTATCCGTTCAGAGGGAGGCACTACAGGAGGCTCAAAGGGAGAAGGAAGTAGTGGAAGCAAGGAGAGAGGAGCTGGTCAGGCAACAGAAGGAGTGTTCATAGAGGAACCTAGGTATGCAGAGATACGCACTGTGGCGCCAGTGCGCATTCACAGCCCAGTGCGTCCTGTGCCAGCGCCCCGCACGTGTCGTGCGAATGTGGGCATCCAGCCAGGACGGGTTGTGCCAGCTCTAAGCTCCAGACCTCCAGTGCGCCTCCACAGTCCAGTGCAGCCCGTGCCTGCTCCCCGCACCAAACCAGTGGTGCGTGTCGCCAGCCCGGTAAGCCCTGTACCTGCTCCCCGCACCAAACCAGTGGTGCGTGTATCCAGTCCGGTGCACCCCGTACCTGCTCCCCGCACCAAACCAGTGGTGCGTGTCGCCAGCCCGGTAAGCCCCATACCTGCTCCCCGCGCCAAACCAGTGGTGCGTGTATCCAGCCCGGTACGCCCCGTACCTGCTCCCCGCACCAAACCAGTGATGCGTGTGTCCAATCCGGCCCAGCCCGTTCCTGCTCCTCGCAGCAAACCAGTGGTGTGTGTTCCCAGTCCGGCCCGGCCCATTCCTGCTCCCCGCACCAGGCCAGTGGTGTGTGTTCCCAGTCCGGCCCGGCCCGTTCCAGCTCCTCGCCCCAGACCTGTGGTGCGTGCATCCAGTCCAATGCGGCCCGTACCTGCTCCTCGCACCAAACCAGTGGTGCGTGTCGCCAGCCCGGTACGCCCCGTACCTGCTCCCCGCCCCAGGCCAGTAGTGCGTGTTCCCAGTCCGGTACGGCCCGTACCTGCTCCTCGCACCAGACCAGTGGTGCGTGTCCCCAGTCCGGCCCGGCCCGTTCCACCGGTGCCTGGTCCAGCACCGACCAGCTGCTCTAATCCGGAGTCAGAGCAGTCCACTCCACCGGTGCCCGGTCCAGCTCCGGTCAGCGGTTCCACTCCGGAGACATAGCAATCCGCTCCACCGGGGTCCAGTCCAGCACCGGTTAGCTGCTCCACTCTGAAGCCAGAGCAATCCGCTCCACCGGTGCCTAGTCCAGCTCCGGTCAGCGGTTCTACTCTGGAGCCAGAGCAATCCGCTCCACCGGTGCCCAGTCCAGCTCCGGTCAGCGGCTCCACTCCGGAGCCAGAGGAGTCCGCTCCACCGGTGCCCAGTTCAGCTCCGGTCAGCGGCTCCACTTCAGACCCAGAAGGCAGCCCCTCTCCAGGGTCGGGGTCTCCCACACCAGCGTCCAGACAGGGCTTGGTGCATCGCGGGAGGATTGCCGATCCAGGCCCAGACGTCAGCCCCTCTCCAGGTTCGGGGTCTCCCAAACCAGGGTCCAGACAGGGCTTGGTGCATCGTGGGAGGAAGGAGAGGGGAAGCACAGACCAGACCAGGGGTGCAACGGGGAGGCAGAGAGGGAGAGGTCGTCACGCCCGGAGCTGGATCCGCCTCCGAGGCTGAAAGCCCACCCGGACCCTCCCCTGTCATGTCAGGTTTTGCGCGGCCGGAGTCCGCACCTTTGGGGGGGGGTACTGTCACGCCCTGACCTATAGAACTCTTGTTTGTTGAGTCAGGGTGTGGAAATCTGTTATAGATTCTATGTTTAGGTTCTAGTGAGTCTATTTCTATGTTTGGCCGGGTGTGATTCCCAATCAGAGACAGCTGTCGCTCGTTGTCTCTAATTGGGGATCATACTTAGGTAGCCTATTGCCTACTGTGTATTGTGGGATCTTGTTCTGTGTAGGCTTGTGTGTATAGCCTGAGGACTTCACGTTACGTTGTTTCTTGTTTTGGTTTGTATGTTTATTGGGTGAATAAACATGTACGCTTTTCACGCTGCACCTTGGTCTGACCCGTCTCTCAACGTTTGTGACATACAGACAGATTATTTCACTTATAATTCACTGAATCACAATTCCAGTGGGTGTGAAGTTTACATACACTAAGTTGACTGTGACTTTAAACAGCTTGTTGTGGCAAAATGTCTTAAGGACAACAAAGTCAAGGTATTGGAGTGGCCATCACAAAGCCCTAACCTCAATCCTATAGAAAATTTGTGGGCAGAACTGAAAAAGCGTGTGCAAGCAAGGAGGCGTACAAACCTGACTCAGTTACACCAGCTCTGTCAGGAGGAATGGGCCAAAATTCGCCCAACTTATTGTGGGAAGCTTGTGGAAGGCTACCCGAAACATTTGACCCAAGTTAAACAATTTAAAGGCAATGCTACCAAATACTAATTGAGTGTATGTAAACTTCTGACCCACTGGGAATGTGATGAAAGAAATAAAAGCTGAAATAAATCATTCTCTCTACTATTATTCTGACATTTCACATTCTTAAAATAAAGTGGTGATCCTAACTGACCTAAAACAGGGAATTTTTACTAGGATTCAATGTCAGGAATTGTGAAAAACTGAGTTTAAATGTATTTGGCTAAGCTGTATGTAAACTTCCGACTTCAACTGTAAACTGACAAATTTCTGAGCTAAACTGACCAAATAATGACAATTTTCCTCAACCAGTGGCATATGGGCTTTTTAGATGAGTGCTGATGCCGCCCTGTGATAAGCAGTGGCCACTTTATCAAAGGCAGGGGCACAAAATATTTTGCTTGTCCATTCCCAGCGCGCCTCTCCAGGGTGCTGTTGGAGAGCCGCATCGCTGCGGCGCTCCACCAACGTTCCATCAAAAGAATGATCTAACATAAATCATGTAGCAGATATAGGATATGGTTGAAAGAGTATGTGGCCTTTTCTGTAGCCTACAGGCTGGAGATAAAATGTATGACAATGTAATGAGATGGACACTTTTTACATCATGCAGGTTTCTCCGATCAAATAGCCTAACCTTTATATTTATTTATATGTATGTGTGTGTATATATATGTATGTGTGTATATATATATATATATATATATATATATATATATATATATATTTATATGTATGTGTGTGTATATACAGTGGGGAAAAAAAGTATTTAGTCAGCCACCAATTGTGCAAGTTCTCCCACTTAAAAAGATTAGAGAGGCCTGTAATTTTCATCATAGGTACACGTCAACTATGACAGACAAAATGAGAAAAAAAAATCCAGAAAATCACATTGTAGGATTTTTAATGAATTTATTTGCAAATTATGGTGGAAAATAAGTATTTGGTCAATAACAAACGTTTCTCAATACTTTGTTATATACCCTTTGTGGCAATGACACAGGTCAAACATTTTCTGTAAGTCTTCACAAGGTTTTCACACACTGTTGCTGCTATTTTGGCCCATTCCTCCATGCAGATCTCCTCTAGAGCAGTGATGTTTTGGGGCTGTCGCTGGGCAACACAGACTTTCAACTCCCTCCAAAGATTTTCTATGGGGTTGAGATCTGGAGACTGGCTAGGCCACTCCAGGACCTTGAAATGCTTCTTACGAAGCCACTCCTTCGTTGCCCGGGCGGTGTGTTTGGGATCATTGTCATGCTGAAAGACCCAGCCACGTTTCATCTTCAATGCCCTTGCTGATGGAAGGAGGTTTTCACTCAAAATCTCACGATACATGCCCCATTCATTCTTTCCTTTACACGGATCAGTCATCCTGGTCCCTTTGCAGAAAAACAGCCCCAAAGCATGATGTTTCCACCCCCATGCTTCACAGTAGGTATGGTGTTCTTTGGATGCAACTCAGCATTCTTTGTCCTCCAAACACGACGAGTTGAGTTTTTACCAAAAAGTTATATTTTGGTTTCATCTGACATTCTCCCAATCCTCTTCTGGATCATCCAAATGCACTCTAGCAAACTTCAGACGGGCCTGGATATGTACGGCTTAAGCAGGGGGACACGTCTTGCACTGCAGGATTTGAGTCCCTGGTGGCGTAGTGTGTTACTGATGGTAGGCTTTGTTACTTTGGTCCCAGCTCTCTGCAGGTCATTCACTAGGTCCCCCTGTGTGGTTCTGGGATTTTTGCTCACCATTCTTGTGATCATTTTGACCCCACGGGGTGAGATCTTACGTGGAGCCCCAGATCGAGGGAGATTATCAGTGGTCTTGTATGTCTTCCATTTCCTAATAATTGCTCCCACAGTTGATTTCTTCAAACCAAGCTGCTTACCTATTGCAGATTCAGTCTTCCCAGCCTGGTGCAGGTCTACAATTTTGTTTCTGGTGTCCTTTGACAGCTCTTTGGTCTTGGCCATAGTGGAGTTTGGAGTGTGACTGTTTGAGGTTGTGGACAGGTGTTTTATACTGATAACAAGTTCAAACAGGTGCCATTAATACAGGTAACGAGTGGAGGACAGAGGAGCCTCTTAAAGAAGAAGTTACAGGTCTGTGAGAGCCAGAAATCTTGCTTGTTTGTAGATGACCAAATACTTATTTTCCACCATAATTTGCAAATAAATTCATTAAAAATCCTTCAATGTGATTTTCTGGATTTTTTTTCTCAATTTGTCTGTCATAGTTGACGTGTACCTTGATGAAAATACAGGCCTCTCCATCTTTTAGTTGGAGAACTTGCACAATTGGTGGCGACTAAATACTTTTTTTCCCCACTGTATATATATATATATATATATATTTGTCTCGCCTAGGGCAGCAGAATGGCAAGGAACGGCCTTGGTTGTGTCAAGTTGGCTGGATGTCTTTTGGGTGGTGGACCATTCTTGATACACAGGGGAAACTGTTGAACGTGAAAAACCCAGCAGCGTTGCAGTTCTAGACACAAACCGGTGCACCTGGCACCTACTACCATACCCTGTTCAAAGGCACTTAAATATTTTGTCTTGCTCATTCAACCTCTGAAAGGTACACATTCACAATCCATGTCTAAATTGTCTCAAGGCTTAAAAATCCTTCTTTAACCTGTCTTGTCCCCTTCATCTACACTGATTGAAGTGGATTTAACAAGTGACATCAATAAGGGATCATAGCTGTCACCTGGATTCACCTGGTCAGTCTGTCATGGAAAGAGTGTTCCTAATGTTTTGTATATTTAGTGTATATTAAGTATTATTATCAGCCTCCGGATTTGAAACATTATTATGTTAGTGAGTGGGTTGATAATGGGATATCAGTGAATACTAACCTGTGTGTGTGTTCCTGTTCCTCAGACCTGCTTCTGACCAGCATTCTGAGTACGGTGGCAGCTCTGCTGGTTCTCATGGTGGTTGTGTTGGCTGTGGTCTGTGTGGTGATCAAGTAAGTGAGCTACTTTTTTGCTAACCCTTCATGAAAAATGTTGGGATGTTTTCTCTGATACAGATTCATCTCCAAGAAAAAGAAGTAGCAGGAGCGTATTCCAAAACAACCACAAGTGCTCTTGAAGGGGAATGGTAATTGAAAAGCAAAAATTATAACCACAACTAGGTGCTAAGGACACCCTGATGAAGGCCTAAGCCAATACGCGTTGGTGTATTTTAATGTCTTAGCCCACATTGAAGGCTTTTTAACTTTCAAACCCATACGAGTGTCTGGACTTTGATTTTTGTGGTTATAATTTTTCCTTTTCAATTAGAGATTAATATCCATTGAAAGTGCTTTTTAGGCCAGGATTAGGCTTAATCTGTGTCTGAGAAACAGGCGTTTTGAGTACATATGGTAACTATGCATTAGAAGGTGAGGCGCGACACACTCTCCATACAACAGTATTTTATTTGATATAAAAAAACATGACATTTCGGTATACACAGACCTTCAGCAGACCCGCATCGGGCCTGACTCAGGCTTCCTTTACTAGGATATGGAACTGGAACATTTTATCAGAGTGATTTCTTCAGTAAGAACTGCTGTAGTTGTGTTTAATTAAGTTTGATTACGACAATATAGGCTACTCCTCCCTCACATTCTTTTTACAATTTCAAAATAAAAAAGACTGCTTGTAAAGTCATAATATGGACAGGCTCGGGCTGCAAGTCATAGGCCCAGGTCGGGGCGGTCTTCAATTTTGAGTACTGATCAAGAGTCCTGGTGTGAGTCCTCATATGCAATGTCAGACCCTGGCGAGTATCGAAACTTTCATTACACCCAAGACAGCGATACAGTTTCAGTTTGTGATTGCTCATATGCTCTTCCAGCAAAACCTCCTCATCCTCTGTGAAACATATACCACAGATGTAACAAGAAAGCGATCCTGTACTTCCAACATGAAAATTTAGATGATCTTTCAAACTTTCTACAGACTCAAAGGATCTTCCGCAGATACCACACCGAGACAGCTTTGTATGTCTATGTGCATGAATCACTAGAGACTCCTTGGTGATGAAAGGCTTTGCACATATTCTACAACGACGAACAGTATTATTGAGGATAGGGGATTTCAGATGGGACAACTCTGTGGATTCTCTGACTTTAGTACAGACATGGAAGCTTGGTCCAGCTTTTGTCTGTGTTCTCTTTGACTTGAGTGGAGGTCCTTTACTCTCCAGCCGATCGACACTTTCATCACTCTCACTCTGAGTTGCAGACCAGTCTGAATTGACTGCAGAGGGGGGCTGAGAGTCACTGTTACTGAAGTACTCTGTTTTAATCTGTTCAATTTGCGTTGTGGTGCTGGGTAGCTCATCCCTCTCTGTGTTTTCTTCACGTTGGGTTAAAATTTGGTAAAGATGTGAGGACTGACTTGGGTTCTGATTATAGTCACCTTTTACTCTGGCAGTAGATATGAAGGCTTTGGTATCAGCAGAATCATCAGTATCATAATCCATCCCTTGAAGCTGCTCTCCTCCCTGACTGATGACCCATAGTTCCTCCTGTTCCTCTTTAATCTGGGAAGGGTCCTCCTGCCTGCAGTGCTGCTGCTCAGGGGCAACCTCCTCTTCAGAGATGGAGAGAGTGAGCTGCTGGAGGTCTGTGGGAAAAAGAGCATGACATACTTAGCTAGTACATTCAAATGCTGAGATGCTGGCTTACAAGAAATGGATTCTAGCCAGATACATGTAACGTTTGAACTACTGTGATGGAAACACGAAGATTCGGTACAGTTGTATAAATGCCTACAGAAAATGTGTTCATTCGACATGGTGTGATGGTAAAATGTATTATGCGAGAAATGGTGGTGCAATCGCCTTTATGCGTAAATATTGATAAAATAAACATAATATCGAAATAAATTTGGAGTCACGAGATTAAATGGTGTGTGGTCGTCTATGACTCGTGAAACCATGCAGTTTATTAGGCTACAGATGAAATAAATTATGAAATTCACAGGGTGGTGAAAGTGCACGGTGATGAACTTGATGCTACTTTCCAATAATATCGAGGGTCTTATTCTGATGACATGAGGCTCGATGCTTGACAAATAAAAATACTCTCGCTCTATTCCATAATAATCTCATCATGTAGACTAGCCTTCCCGCAAAACCTGTAGGCTATATGCGAGCTAGAACACACGTGCCAAGACCAGAGTAGGCACACTTGCTATTTAACGCAACCGTTTTTGTTAAAAAAACTATCGGTAGAGTTGAAAATGTGATGGAAACACATTGAACTTTAGATTTTTATTTGGTACAAAAGTACATTGTGTGCACTACGTCGTAATGCACTCGGTTTGGTGGAAACACTACTGGTGGGAAAATTCGCATTGTCTTCACGCGGATTTTATAATATTCGCATGAAAATCTGTCGCCAATTGGATGAAAATGTAACTAGTGATGACTGAAATTTAAATGGCCAACATGCATTAGCAATGTGTATAACAAATGATGGTTGTTACGGACTTAGCTAATAAGTAACACACCTTCTAGTCTCTGTAACTTTATTTCTGGTTTAAGAACGACATCCAGCAGCTTCTGTAGGCGGGCGTTCTCTTCTTTAGCACGGGACACTTGTTCCTGGTACTCTGCTATCGTTCGGTCTTTCTCCTCTTTTGAACGGCAGAATTCTTGCTGGTAGTCTGCTATCGTTGTTTCAACTGCCCCGAAAAGCTCATCGACAGCCGCTGTTAATCGCCTGTTGAGAAACATTCTCAATGATTTTATGTTAGGCAACATTTTTGCAAGTTAGCTAGCTGAGTAGCTGCCAGCTAGTGTTGTTTTTCCTGTTCCACCGTTCCACGCGCCCTTTTTCGAAACACATTTTTACACTATCACCACCTGCTGGAGTGGAGTGCAACTGCGTTGGTGGAGTGTTGTGGCAGAAAATGTAGTAGTTGTATTTCACTTGTACTGTAGCTTATCTATATTCTATGTAGCTATATAGGTATTTTTTCATGGTAATAAAGGATTACATGTATTCAATTGTTGTCATGATAAGTGGACACATACATAGGGACTTTCTATCATTATGGGACTTAATAAGTGTGACTATTTAATACAACAAATTTCTCTCATTACAGTAGCCTACCTTGCGTGTGATAATGTGTTTTGATCTCCCTCCTGTTGAGTAGGAAGAAGAAGAGGCAGCTGTCTCACCAAGTGTCCATCTACAACCCCAACGGGACCAGCTTCCTGCCAGGTCACAACGGGAGGTTCCCCAAATCACGAAAAGACAACGAGTCCCACATCTACGCCTCGATCGATGACACACTTGTATACGGCCAACTCCTGCGAGACGGGGCAGAGTTGGGTGTCTATGGAGACCCGGCTGTGGATGTGTACCAGAGTTTTACTGGACCCACAGAGGCTAAGCCCCTCTCTCTGGGGACAGTCACTGAACGTCCAGAGGTGGGCATCTACCAGCCTTTTGTGCCCCCATCCCACATTGCCCCACTCATCCCCAATAGACCCTTAAGTCAAGACCAGCAGACTATGGTGGACAACGAGTTGTACGGCTCCAGAAGCAATGGTGACACCCCTACACAGTCTCAACCTAACAACATGAACACAGAGCAGACTACAACGGTGGAGCCAGAGGCTCATGACTGAAAGGGAGAGGACTGTAGGTTGAGGGTATATGCCAAGCACAGTACCATAGCCCTTCTCTTCATATTTTATCAGATTCCCTGGCATGTATGTGATTCACTGGAATTTCTGAGAATCCATTGTCTGTCAAAGAAGCCCACATTATTTTAATAGAGTTGATAATGTCATGTGTTTTGGCTGAGGGCACCTTTGCACTGCATAGTAAAAGTGTAATTAGTTTCATGGACGTAGAAAAACCTATTCTTGGACTAAATAGCACTTAGTTTCAATTGATTGCTCCATTGAGCATCATTTTTTTAAAGGAATAGGTTTAACCTGGGTCCTGGAAACCGACCCTCAACCTTTAAATAATCTTACTTTTGAATTAATGATAATGGAGATGAACATACTATGTGTATTTGTATATTCAATTAAGTTTACAGTGAATGTGTAGGAGGATAAAATGTAAAGGTAAAAATGTATTGTGTCATAAATCCTATTTTTTACATAAACACACTCAAATCATCATTTATTTGTCATATGCACAGGATACAGCGTAAACTGTGCAATTAAATGCTTACTTGTGAGCTTCCTCAACATTGCAGAAATAATAAAACGAGCGGTAAAACTAAAGCAGTCCAAAATACTATGTCAGTAATAAAAAAGTAGTTTAAAAAATAAGGTAATAAATATATATAAATATACTGTGAATATACTACTGTATGTCAGTGTACTGTTATATACAAGTAAGTAGTAAAATAATAGTGACTAGTTAGGACCAAGGTAGAGTGGTAAATAATAAATAGGTTTGTGTGTTGTGAGAAGGAGAGAGAAGTGGGATTGCAGAAATTCTGTGCAAATAGTCTTAAAGTGCAGGTGGACGGCACCCAGGGGTTAGCTGTTAAACATGAGGTAGAAACTGTCTCTGAGCCCTGATGCTCCTGTACGGTAAGGGAGTAAACAGTCCATGTCTGGGGTGGCTGAAGTCTCTGGCAATCTTCTGGGCTTTCCTCAGACACCGCCTGGTGTAAATGTCCTGTAGGGCTAGGAGCTCGCCCCCAGTAATGGACTGGGCAGTTTTCACCACTCTCTGTAGAGCCACGGTCAAGGGCGTTGCAGCTGCCGTACCAGTCGGTGATGCAGTCAGTCATGATGCTCTCGATGCAGCCCCAAAGTTCGCTAGAGGGCGCTATTATTATCCTTCCATCAAATAATAGCGCCCTCTAGCGGACCTTGGAGCTGCTCTCGATGGTGCATCACACAGACACACACTTTCACAATGGCCTTTTCTCATTTGGGTAAAAGTCCTCTTTCCTCCATTCTCTCTCCTCTGTGACCCGGAAACCGATAAGTGGTTGAGTGGTCGAGGAGAGTGCCAATTCGTTAGTAAGCAAATGGAAGAGTGTCATCCCCTTCTCGATAACCACCTTCTCGATAACTGAGCAGTTGCCATACCAGGTGGTGATGCAACCAGTCAGGATGCTCTCGATGGTGCAGCTGTATATATTTCTGAGGATCTGAGGACCCATGCCAAATCTTTTCAGTCTCCTGAGGGGGAATAGGCGTTGTCGTGCCCTCTTCACGACTGTCTTGGTGTGTTTGGACCATGACAGTTCGTTGGTGATGTGGACACCAAGGAACTTGAAGCTCTCAACCTGCTTCACTACAGCCCTGTTGATGAGAATGGGGGCGTGCTCGGCCCTCCTTTTCCTGTAGTCCACGATCATCTCCTTTGTCTTGATCACGTTGAGGGAGAGGTTGTTATCCTGGCACCACACTGCCAGGTCTCTGACCTCCTCCCTATAGGCTGCCTCATCATTGTCGGTGATCAGGCCTACCACTGTTGTGTCGTCTGCAAACTTAATGATGGTGTTGGAGTCATGCTTGACCATGCAGTCATGGGTGAACAGGGAGTACAGGAGGGGACTGAGCAAGCACCCCTGAGGGGCCCCCGTGTTGAGGATCAGCGTGGCAGATGTATTGTTACCTACCCTTACCACCTGGGGGCGGCCCGTCAGGAAGTCCAGGATCCACTTGCAGAGGGAGGTGTTTAGTCCCAGGGTCCTTAGCTTACTGATGAGCTCTGAGGGCACTATGCTGTTGAACGCTGATCTGTAGTCAATGAATAGCATTCTCACGTAGGTGTTCCTTTTGTCCAGGTGGGAAAGGGCAGTGTGGAGTGCAATAGAAATTGCGTCATCTGTGGATCTGTTGGGGCGGTATGCAAATTGGAGTGGGTCTAGGGCTTCTGGGATAATGGTGTTGATGTGAGCCATGACCAGCCTTTCAAAGCACTTCATGGCTACAGACGTGAGTGCTACGGGTCGGTAGTCATTTAGGCAGGTTACCTTGGTGTTCCTGGGCACAGGAACTATGGTGGTCTGCTTGAACATGTTGGTATTACAGACTTGGTCAGGGACAGGTTGAAAATGTCAGTGAAGACACTTTCCAGTTGGCATCATCGATGCACTTATTGATGAAGCCAGTGACTGATGTGGTGTACTCCTCAATGCCATATGAAGAATCCCAGAACATATTCCAGTCTGTGCTAGCAAAGAAATCTGTAGTCCTTTGCGGAAGAGTTTTGAAACTGCCACACCCCCTTTCAATCAGCTATTGTTTTCTCGAAGGAGAAAAGCATGCAAACATTTAAAAAACGATATGCTACTTATCCTTTTATCTTTAAAATGGCTTGCACAGCTAGCTAAGGTAGGCATAGGCTACTTTGTAGCTAGTTAACATTACATTGAGAAGGTTTTTGGGAAAGCCTTTCCACCTTACCAGAAGACGGTTAAGCCTATCATTAGCATTGCTATATTTCTCCTGTTCCTTAATTGTTTGAAACCTGGACGTTTTACTTCATATTATGAATAAGACGCTCTGGATAAGAGCGTCTGCTAAATGACTATGTAACTATGTAAAATGTAACTATCTTTCATTGTCTAGCAGCCAAAGGCATTATCCTGGGGCCTGTTGCACAAAACTAGGATAAGGGATTAAGCCAGGATATCTTGGTGATCCTCGCTCAATTGATCCGTAATCCGGTTGCACTAAAGATGGATAGGGGGCAGGAGGATATGTTATGGTATAAATTACCATGGAGATTTATTCTGTGGAGCTAGCCTGCTCCAGACCAGGCTAAATTCCAGGATCTATTTAATCTCATCCCTACTGTCAGTCAGCAGTCACCACAAATGGAAACCAATAGTTATTTCACTGCTCACTATACATTGTTATCACATAACTAGACCCACTGTCATTATTTAAACGTTTGTGATCATTAATTTCAATGATTTTGGATAAAAAATGATTTTTAGATGATGTTGCTATCATTAGATAATTTACAGTTTCCCATAGACTATAAGGCTATATATAAAATGATAGAATATTAGGGCCACAGAGGGGAAAAAAACACAAGTCGTAATATTGTAACCAGTTGTTTTAAAGGAGGACAGTTGTTAAAATGACAGATGTGGGGCATTTCGTGAAATTGTACTTCAGTATGGTTTCATAAACAAAGACATGCTGATGTGCCAGAATATGAAGTATCACATTGTCATAAGTATCAAAACTGTAAAAACAATATGTAGCTTTTCTGCAGAAAGAACCAGCCTCATAAATTTATGACTTTATCCTTTTTCTTCAGTGTGGCCCTAGTACTCTGTCATATAAACAAATACACATTCCATATGAATATAAAAACACAATGTGTAACATTATGTTCCTTTATTGAATAAGGACAAAACAAAGCAGGTAAACCATCAGCTCCTTTCGAAACTGAAGTCACAGTGACTCTACAAGATGGAAAGCACAGAATCCAAGCATATTATACAAAATGATACATACACATTCAAAGGTCTGTATATAACACACCCTGCATGTCTGCACACTAAAATAAATGCAGGACAAATCCATACACATCAACTGAACAGACAAATGAATGGATGCAGTAGCCTCCCTGCAGCCTTGTATTACACACAGTATACCGCACAAACATCATAAGAGGCCAAATTCGTAAAAAAACGAACCCAAAAAAACCCAAATTCCTCTGCCACCGCAGGACATATTTAACCAAAATTGAAAGCACACATACTAACTAAAATAATTCAACACATATTGGTCCCTCAGCAGCCGACCACTGTCGTCATCAGGGAAGATTGCCGGATTGTCCCAGTCCATGGCTGGTGGCACTCTGGGGGCCCTCTCCTTCCTCAGGCAGGCCACATTGTGGAGGACAGCACAAGCCACAGTAATATCACATGCCCTAACAGGGCTGACCCTTAATTTGTGAAGGCAGTGAAAGCGTGCCTTCAGGAGGCCAAAGGTCATTTCAACTCTGGCCCTGGTCCTGGCATGGGCATGGTTGTAGGCCTGCTGTGCTTCCTGGGGGTCTGTGAAAGGTGTCAGGAGAAAAGGCTGGCAGCCATACCCCCTGTCTCCCAGCAACACACCAGAGAATTCACCTGTCAACACAAAATCTCATCATTACTACCTCATAAACACAGTGATATTCTTGACACAGCCATGATGGTTATAAATAGGGGTTGTGTGGCTTACCTTGTGATAGGCACTGATAGATTTCAGAGGCCCGAAAGATTCTGGAGTCATGGACTGAGCCAGGCCATTTTGCCACAACATTGCTGATCACACAGTCAGCATTGCAGACCATCTGAAATCATAAGATGAGGAATATTACACCAATCAATGCACATCACTGGCAATGCAGAGTGTTCGTCAATGGACAATATCAAAAAGTTATGTTCACCTGAACATTAATGCTGTGAAAGGATTTCCTATTCACAAAATCGGCCTCATGGGCACCTGAGGGGGCTTTTATCCTTATGTGTGTGCAGTCCACTGCACCAATGACATTGGGGAAACCTGTCACACAAAGTAATGAGTATCCTACTATGTGTTAACAGTTGTCCTGTAATTTGTAGATCCTCTTACCTGCAATCCTATAGAACTCCTCTTTGATGTCACAGAGTCTTCTGTGGCCAGGGAAGGAGATGAAGACATCTGCTAATGCTTTGATAGCCAGACACACACTCCTTATTGTGCGGCAAATTGTGGCCTTGTTCAGCTGTTCTGCATCCCCCACTGAGTACAGGAAGGCTCCACTAGCAAAAAAGCGCAAGGCCACACAAACCATTTGCTCCACACTCAGTGCATGGCTCCGTGCAGTGCGGTGCTTAATCCTGGGACCCAGTAGTCTGCATAGATACCTGATGCCATCTGCAGAAAACCTGTATCTTTCATATAGATGGTCATCAGGGAAGGCCAGTGGGTCCAACCGGTCCCTGAAGACCCTTTCTCGCCTGAAGGCTCTCCTCAGCACAAGTGCTTCTTCATCCACCACATCTCGCACGAATGGGCATGCCATTGTCAGAGCAGAAAGGAACACACAATTTTGGGCCTTCATATAGGCTAGTGGCCACACCTGGTGCTGGGGGGGTGGGCAAAAGAGGGCGATGCCTTATAACGATGACTTGGTTGTACTGATTGCTGGGAAAATAAAAAAAACCTTAGAAAGATGCCACCGTCCTGTGTGCTCACAATAAGAGCTCATATGTCATGGCTCACTTGACTTTACGAGAATATACCTAATTTTTATTTTGAGCTGTGTCATCTTCTTGGAGCTGGGGGAGGAAAGAAAAATAATGATTAATACATTTGTGTTACAGTTAGCATACAGTGTACATTGAAGGCATATCTCACCTCCCTCTCAAGTTTTTTTATTTCAAGGTCCAGTTTCCTAATTGTCCTCTTTTTTATTTCGGACTCCAGTGCAAGATTTTCCATCTTTTTCTTCTTGTACTGAATGTCTATGTCTGCCAGTTCTATTTGGCGCCGGAGGTGGTTGCCATACAACTTTCTGATAGCTTGTGAGCTCTGTGAACACAATACAATTAGCGCAGCTGGAATTTGGCAGGATGTGGTGTCCTTTTATTAATACGCACTATGTTGCCAGGCTGGTTTTCCCACTGTATAGCATCTGGGTCCTGTAAAAGAAATTAGATTTTTTGATTTTGATGAGGACTCCTCACCATTGTAGAGTAAATAGTACTTTCACAGTCTTAACATGATACCTCATGCCTTCTGGAATCCAGAGAGATGGTCTCCTCCTCATCATCGTCTCCATCATGTGCTGTTGCTGCTGCACTGGGGCCTTCACCCTATCACATTTAATCAGATTCATATTGAAGCTAGTAGACAAGACATGCCAGGCCTACAGTATGCCTTTGATGGAGTACTCACTGGATCAGCATCGTCTGGTGCTTGTGCTGGTGGCTCTAACAGGAACACAGTGCTGCCAGACACTGCAAGGCAATAGGTAAACCAAAGTCAGACAGTCCAAATTGATTCAATATGAATGTGGTTGTATCCCATGTAGAGATGGAAGGACATACCTTGAATGAAGCGGGTGGCATCTTGGGAGGAACCTATGCTCGTCTCTTTCCCCCCAGGGATCCCCTCTAAGACGGGCCTGCCTTTATTTAGCTCCAAGGCCATGTCCTCTGCTGGGGTAAGGTCAGCCTTTGGTGACCCACCACCCGTGCCTTGTCTGTGGGTATTCTTTTTCACTGCTAAAACAGTACAGACAATGTGTGAGCAGGCACCTTCTGGGTACAATATATGCTTGTGCTTTGTTAAATATTAGTCAGGGACCATACCATTCTGCAGAATGTTCTTGTATTTGATTTTGACCTGCTGCCATGTCCGTTTTGGCCCGTTCATGTTTAATCTACACACACACACACACACACACACACACATTTAATGGAGTCACACTGCAAAAAATTACTTGGTATTTTTGTCTTGTTTTCAGTAAAAATATCAAAAAATTTATCATAGCTTTATACAGTGTGATGGAGTTACTTTACACAATTTCACTCATATCTGCAGTGCATTTCAATTAAAAATTTAACCGTTTCATAATTACAGTACAACTGCATTTTTGGAGATGTGAATTAAATATTTGAATTGTAATTGTGATGTTTCAGCGGAGCGGTGAGTGTGTAATTGTGCACTACTTACGCATTCAGGCGGTCTGCAATACTTTGCCACGCTTTTTCTCTTTGCTTTATCACTGTGGCGGTGTTGCCTTTCTTCTTAATTATATATTTTACCTCCTCGTATGCCTCCATGAGGATTTGTGCTTCCGACGGGGAAAAGTACGCGGCTCTAGTTGCCATGGTAAATCAGTTAATCTGTGATCTGTGGCGGGGTCTATTTGAGTGAGCCGTGAGCGCGCACCTATCCAGGATTGGTTTCACCTGGCTTAATGAATCCGTGTCTGCTCATCCTGGCTTGGTCTTTGTGCAACCAATTAAGCCTGGACGCACATGTTTTGGCTTCATTGAGCTCAGCTGAGTCATTTATCCCGGATGTCTTAATTCTACTTTTGTGCAACAGGCCCCAGGTCATATTAGCAACCAATCCCTTGATAGTTGCTGCATCTTTAGATCTCCCCTCTTTCTACATTTCTAATGGGTATTTCCATCTCTGTCCATGAGCACATTTTAGAAAGGTGTTTTCTTGCTAATTGCATTTTGGAACATTTGAATGTAGGCTTACCGCTGTGTGCACATTGCTGCGCCTAAAATATGAAGACATAATAGTTTATCAACATTATAAGCTAAACATTCTGATCTGTTCCATCAGCTTTATTAATTGATACGGCGTATCCCTCCGTTACTTTGATACGCATGGTGGGGATTAAGAAGTGAGTATACCCAATGCCCACTGAAAAATAATTTTGTATATGGTAATACAGCGTATACCCTCCACAACACCACTGCAGAGGATGGAGGAGAGAGGATGCAGGACTTGAGCAACCAATTGAGAAAAGGCCAATGACTGTACAGTATAAAGGAAAAGCCCAATGTCGATGGCCCTTTAAGAATTTACTAGACTAAAATAATCTATTGAAGAAAAGTATAAAACATTTCATAACCCGATTCTGAACGAATAATACTGATGAGTAGATAACAACCTAAGATGTTTGACTGGAAAATGTATCCGTATCTAATACATATAATTGCATAATTAGTCATTCGATGAGTAAACTTTGTCACACCAACCTTCTGCGATTCAGAGTGAGAACTAAAAAGGATTGCCGATGTAGTCGATCAACAGTGTGCCCTTCTGCTTCGAGCACGCACACGTCTGCTCCCGGTTGGATAACTTTGCTAGCTCATTGATGGACCATAGTAGAAGAAAATGACAGATTACGCCGAAGAGCAGCGAAACGAGCTGGAAGCTATAGAGTCAATTTACCCGGACTCGTTTACAGGTGAGCTTTCTGCGAGTCTGTCTCGGTTGGTTTGCAAGCTGGAGAACGCTAGCTAGCTAGCCAGCTGGCTAACTCAGGTTAGCAGTGTGGTGCCAATTTAGCTAGCTAGCTAGCTAGCTAGCATGCCAAAACCCTCGAAACATCTAGGAGAAATTGTCTTAGCCAACTCCTTAGCTATCATGTTTATAGTTATAGCTAGAAACGATCACATAATGAAACGCCCTCAATCACCACACACTCAAAGTTAGTTAGTGCCAATGCACTGTTTAGCTAGCTAAACAAACTCAACTGCACTGACAGTGCCACACAGTTGGGCCATTCAGGCTCTTCAGCAGGTGAGTTGATCATAATTAACATCTTCCACTTTTCAACAGCGCAAGTCTTTTAGAGCAACAGGAACCACTTTTTGTTCTAACTTTTGCTTTTCATTCATTTCCATAACAATGATGTGACTGCTATGCTGACTTTCATATTTGTTTTGGCCCTCCTGTAGTGCTATCAGAGGTGCCCACCAGCTTCACCATCACTGTGACATCGGACGCAGGAGAAAACGATGAAAGTAAGCAGTAACCTAACCTATCACTCTCTGGCCTGAGTCTTGTGTCTGTTGGGCTACACTAGCCTGGTCCCATATGACATAACTCGTCAGTCAAGTTGGCTAATTAAACCACTTACGGATCTGGGACCATGCTAGGGTTTTACTACATTATTGTTTGTTTATTTGTTAACCTAATGCCTCTGTTCTGTGTTACTGTAGCGGTTGAAGTGACACTACAGTTCACTTATGTGGAGAAGTATCCAGACGAGGTGCCGGTGTGGGAGATCTATTCCCAGGAGAACCTGGAGGATTCAGACGCAGAGGGCATCCTCACCTTACTGCGGCAGCAGGTGTGTTACACGCATGTGCACACACTCACTCATAGGGCTGTTACGGTGACCGTATTGACAATATTAGCCTATCACTTGTGAATGATATATTATCACTTGTGAATGATGCCCAGCTTAAGGCAAACAGCGCATGCTTTTTTGCGACTTTTTCAAATCATAGTCGCACACCTCATGTAGCCTAGCCCATAGGCCTATATGTTTTGATAAGGTTTGTATCACAACTAAAGTGGCCAAATAACTTCTTAAAATGAAGCACATTAATCCGCTTTACAATGGGTGTAGAGCCTAACTGGCATACATACGCAACGTGTGAGTTTCAAGTTTGGGGAAGATAATTTTCACCATAAAAATGCACATTTATAATAAAAGCAATACATGCATAATCGTATTTGTGGTCACTTTTGAGAGTGGTGTTTTCCTGCTAATAGAACATTCGCTCTTATAGCCTACTGCCTGCCGTGTGCGCATTGCTGCGCTTATAATGTAAAGAAATAGCTTAATAGTTTATCAACATTTTAAGCTAAACGTTCTCATCTGTTGTGTCAGGCTCATTACTTAAAACAGGTTTTTTGATGCTAGTGGTTGTATTAATTTGGGATCTATTGCATCCCACAACTGTCCTGGACTATGTTTGGAATATTTATTTATTGCACAGAATAGAATAGGCCAACTTTTGAACTATGGGGGATAGTAGATTGACATAGGCTAGAGCTTTTGCTGTTCATTAGGCCTACTCATTTTGTTGGCTGACGAAAAGTAAATGTGGACAGTTCTTCCAATATCTTCAATATGCGCCTCGGAATTGGATAAGGACGCACGCAGTTGCGTCCCAGATGTGTCTGTCTTCACTTGTAGGCTGTGAGAAAGCCCTGATCACTTGACTGAGAGCCATGTGAGTTAGAGGTGCTGCGGTACGCAGTGGGGAGAAGGAAATCATTATTATATGCAGCCCAAGGGCATAACGGCCACTGTCCGCAAAAGGCATGGATTTTTTTAGGGGGATTATATCCACACAAAGGAGATGCAGCCAGGAAATTCGAGGCATTATCAAGTGCTTGTCAAATTGTGAAAGAGACTGATGAAGTGTGTACAGCCTGCGCAAAAAACTAAGCAGAGCTCATGCCATTCATGCGACTTTTCAAATCATCATTAGTCGCATCAGAATGTATTAAAAATCTAAACATATAGCCCAACATTTGTATCACAACAAAAGTTACATAAATAACTCTAAATTAAGCATATAGGAGTACCTGTTTCTTTGTTAACCGCTCAACACAGAATAGCACTCCCTCAAATCGTTTGGAGAAAATATCCTTTATTTTTTATTCAGCTATGTTCAATTGTATTCTTCATACTATAAAATAATGCCACGGAATTCTAAGCAAATCTTGTCTGCTAAATGAACTAGTGTAGCCCACAGCCATATGGCATAGCCAGATCAGGGCCTAACATAAGGACAATGCAGAGTATGCTATTCTGTTCTTCTGAAATAGACTACATTTTCTTCATGTCATGTCATGTTTCTTTAGACATGCAGATGTTCCAAAGGTCTGCATCAGTGGCTTGCAGGCTATGTGTGGAAGACAGGAGATGCTAAATGTGTTTGTTAATTAACAGTCAATTACCGTGCAAATAATTACAGTCACCGGCTGACAGCCCTACTCACTCACTCACTGTCACCCACAGTCTGTCTGTTCCACCATCCTCGCCTTACTGCAGCTCTGTCTGTCTGTTTGTCCGTCTGTCTCTCTCGGCCTGTCTATTCAGCCTTACTCGGCAATGAGAGAGCTTACATCTGTGTTTTTATTTTTCTAGGCTGAGGAAAACCTTGGAATGGTGATGATATTCACCCTAGTTACAGCAGTTCAGGACAAACTGAACGAATTAGTCGACGAGATCAAAAACAGAAGAGAGGAAGACAAGAGGCGAAAAGAGGAGGCAGCGGAGGAGGCTGAGAAGGTGCTCTTCCAAGGAACAGTGGTCACCATCGAGAACTTCCTGTCATGGAAAGCCAAGTTTGAGCTGGAGATGGCTGAGTTGAGGAGGAAACGGCAGAAAGAGGAGGAGCAGCAGCAGGCTGGAAAGATTAAACTCACAGGTATGTGTCTACCCCCCAAACCCCTCTACATCCCCAGCCTAAAGCTATCTGGATTAGGGTTGAATGGCGGGAACCCGGTTACTGAGATTTACCGCCCAAAGCCACTCCCTTTTCCCGGGATAAATAACTGCGAGAAACTGGTAAATTATAATAAATTATTTATATGAACAGCTTGGCGTGAAATGGAACTGTTAAAATTATATGCAATGTCTAAATCTGGCTTCTCTACGGCCTCTGCATGATGGGTGGGGACAGACAGCCCATCTCAGTATGGAGCGCAGTTCACAATGCATGTAGACCCATCATCTCATCATGGTAACTTTTTTTTCTTGTGACAGGTAGGCCTGCAATTGCTGCAGCATAGTCTATGCTACAGTAATATAAAGACCGAATGCGCGTCTACTTTACCCATCTCCATCTGGCTTTCGGGGGTCACCCTATTTTTTTTATTTAAAGATTATTTTTTATTTCAGCTGCAGGTTTAAAACAGCTTATCACTCCAATATCATTGCTTTAAATCAGTGCACGCTCGAGCACTCTCTCGCAGTCTTTCTCTCTCTCCATCAACTCCATTCAAATTGCATCCAAAATAGATCATCCTGTTCTAGATGTCCTAGCCTACCTCTTTCAGGTAATACATTCAATGCAGTATTAGTCTTATATTGAACTAATTAATGATGATTTATGCATAATAAGCTTCTAATTTATAGCCTCTGTCTCTTGCACAATAAGCACGCACCGGTTTTTCCGCTGGCCTCTCTCCTTAAAAAAACACTCCTTAGCTCTTGGGAGTCCCATGCAGGAAAAGCTAGACTAGAATAGCTTGCTGGACATGATTTGTTTAGCATTTCTTATACCAATAGACTATTCGAAGAGGGACGCAAGCTCTTGTTTGCTGAAAGTTGAATACAGCAGCCAATCGAACTCACGGGTAGTTTGAAAGAAGAGCGAATGTGCGATGGCAGTAGGCTATAGCAGTTATTTATTCAGACCCATAACCATTCAATCTTCGTGAAGAGAAGTGAAAGCCTTCGTGAAGAGAAGTGAAAGCATCTAATTCTAGTCCTATATTATTCAAAGATATCATTAGAATGATGACGATGAGGACAATGAAACTTATTTCATTTAACTGTTGAAAGCGAGGAACGAATGAAGCAACAATAGAAAGAGGAGGTGGGCTAACATTTGTGGAAATATTTTGAAAGGTATATATTTCATCAGCCTACTAATTATACAAACAGATCCTATTATATTTTAAAATTAAAATCATATTCGCTAGCCTATGCTTGTAACTTTGTAGGCTGCATGTGCTGCACCAGAATTACATCTTCTCTCCCTACTTTATCATGGTTTGAATGATGTGCGTAATTCCAGTCCATATATTACAGGTAAATACAATACAGTACAGTAATACAGTTCAGACTCAAAAAGATTAGCCTACTGGAGCTCATTTCATTTATTAACCTAAGAGAGCATATAGCTAGCTACATCTATGGGCTTTTATGTTTTTCTGTCGTGCATAATGTGCAGTAGCCTATATCATATACAGTACCAGTCAAAAGTTTGGACACCTACTCATCCAAGGGTTTTTCTTTATTTTTAGTATTTTTTACATTGTAGAATAATAGTGAAGACATCAAAACTATGAATAACACATGTGGAATCATGTAGTAACCCAAAAAGTGTTAAACAAATCAAAATATATTTGAGATTCTTCAAATAGCCACCTTTTGCCTTGATGACAGCTTTGCACACTCTTGGAATTCTCTCACCCAGCTTCATGAGGTAGTCACCTGGAATGCATTTCAACTAACTGTAAGTCGCTCTGGATAAGAGCGTCTGCTAAATGACTAAAATGTAAATGTCTTCTTTAAAAGTTAATTTGTGGAATTTCTGTCCTTCTTAATGCGTTTGAGCCAATCAGTTGTGTTGTGACAAGGTAGGGGGGTATACAGAAGATAGCCATATTTGGTAAAAGACCAAGTCCATATTATGGCAAGAACAGCTCAAATAAGCAAAGAGAAACGACAGTCCATCATTACTTTAAGACATGAAGGTCAGTCAATCCGGAAAATTTCAAGAACTTTGAAAGTTTCTTCAAGTGCAGTCGCAAAAACCATCAAGTGCTATGATGAAACTGGCTCTCATGAGGACCACCACAGGAATGGAAGACCCAGAGTTACCTCTGCTGCAGAGGATAAGTTCATTAGAGCTACCAGCCTCAGAAATTGCAGCCCAAATAAATGCTTCACAGAGTTCAAGTCACAGACACATCTCAACATCAACTATTCAGAGGGGACTGTGTGAATCAGGCCTTCATGGTCAAATTGCTGCAAAGAAACCACTACTAAAGGACACCAATAATAAGAAGAGACCTGCTTGGGCCAAGAAACACGAGCAATGGACATTAGACCGGTGGAAATTTGTCCCTTGGTCTGGAGTCCAAATTTGAGATTTTTGGTTCCAACCCTGAGTCTTTGTGAGATGCGGTGTGGGTGAGCGGATGATCTCAGCATGTGTAGTTCCCACTGTAAAGCATGGAGGAGGTGGTGTTATGGTGTGGGGGTGCTTTGCTGGTGACACTGTCTGTGATTTATTTAGAATTCAAGGCACACTTAACCAGCATGGCTACCACAGCATTCTGCAGCGATACGCCATCCCATCTGGTTTGGGCTTAGTGGGACTATCAATTGTTTTTCAACAGGACAATGACCCAACACACCTCCAGGCTGTATAAGGGCTATTTTACCAAGAAGGAGAGTGATGGAGTGCTGCATCAGATGACCTGGCCTCCACAATCCCCCGACCTCAACCCAATTGAGTTGGTTTGGGATGAGTCGGACGGCAGAGTGAAGGAAAAGCTGCCAACAAGTGCTCAGCATATGTGGGAACTCCTTCAAGACAGTTGGAAAAGCATTCCAGGTGAAGCTGGTTGAGAGAATGCCAAGTGTGCAAAGCTGTCAAGGCAAAGAGTGGCTATTTGAAGAATTTGTTTAACACTGTTTTGGTTACTACATAATTCCATATGTGTTATTTCATAGTTTTGATATCTTCACTATTATTCTACAGTGAGTAGGTGTTCTAAAACTTTTGACTGGTACTCTGTGTTGGATAACAGCACAATCACGTGGGTGTTTTTGGGCTTTGGCTCATCAGGCTCAGGTAGCATCAGGCTTGAATTTTCAATCAAAGCTCTAATCAAATCCAGACATAGGCCTATTTATATGCTTTATGATGCTATTGAATGGCACCTCTGGTTTTGGCTGGAAATACTGGGTTACCGGGAGAAAAGTGATTTTTTTCTCGGGATGGAACATTTGTAAAATACCTGGAAAATATTCAACCCTAATCTGGATGCTACATCTCTGCCATCATGTACAGTCAAAACATAAACCCAAGTGCTTCAAGTTTTACATTTTATTTTATTTAACCAGGAGAAGTCCATTGAGTCTCTTTTGCCAGGGAGACCTGGCCAAGAAAGCGGCAGCAGTCAATACAACATTACAAAATGTAAAACAATCAACACGATCCGGCCTACAGGAAACATTTACACTCCTCCTGAACATAGTTAGAAAGTTACATGCCTCTAGTGCACAATAGGAAAAAGTAGTCTTTCCTAACTTGGTAACGGCCCTGGGGACTTTAAGTAGCAACCACCTTGAAGACCGTGTCTGGTAACTGCTAGTGGTGAAGGAGACCAGGGTTCCAAGGTAGAGGGGGAGTTTACCCAGAAGGGCTTTATAGGAACACATACCAATGTAGCTGTCAGCGAATGTAAAGCGAGGTCCAGCCCACCATTTGATACAAGGTTCAATGGTTGGTGAGCGTCTTGGCATTTGTACATGATTAACACTTTTTGTTTTCTCTACCAGGAAAAAAGCTATTTGAGACCGATCACAATCTTGACACATCAGATATACAGTTCCTGGAAGATTGTAAGTATAGCGGAGTGATACAACTGTAGTATCTCTTTGTATGTGTGCCTGAGTATGTCTGAGGTAAGAGAAGTATGGTGATTAGTAAGGGGATCTGTAAAAGGTTGTACAATGTAACTTTGCTCTTTCCTCCCGTTCAGCTGGAAACAGTGTTGAAGTGGACGAGTCCCTCTTCCAGGACCTCGAGGAACTCGACCTGGATGAAGACGACCCAGACTTTGACCCTCTGGCACTGGGCAGTGATGAGGACTGAACTAGGAAGAAGAGGAGAGAGATGCCATGGGCATGTTCCAGGCAGACCTGTTCAAATACTATTTGAAATCTTTAAAATATTTTGAACTAGGAAGAAGAGAGAGATGCGATGCCCTGGGCATGTTCCAGGCAGACCTGTGTTCAAATACTATTTGAAATCTTTAAAATACTTTGAGCATTTGCTCTAGCCTGCCTGGAGTGCCAGATGGGTGGGGATTGCAGTTTTGTGACTATTTTATTGGTTCCATTGTGCCTGGAAAGCTCAATCAAGCCCAGAAAAAGCATTTAAAATAGTGTTTGAAACCAGGTCCAGTCCCATGTCATCTTTATTGCAGTCACGTTGTGCCGCACAGATTCAGATCCCTCAACGCCTGAAGAAGTATTTAGCATCTCAGGAACAAATTCTTCGGAGATGCGCAGCGCGACTGTAATATTTACGACTTGAACGCAACCGATTCTAACAGGAGGGGATCATCACAGTATGACCAAACTCAGAGAAGAAAGACAACCAATAACACCCACATTTATGTTCTGAACATGAACTCTAACTGAAGTTGGCTGTAAACACAGAATCACCTCTAAGGGCATTCATACACCCTTGTCAATTAATTGATTTATACCCTGATGCCATTAAAAATGCACTATGCAGAAATCTCTCCCATTTCCTGTTTGCAAAAATTATATTTTGCTTAATTTCAGTTTGTGACAAAACAAGCAAGTATAGTGTAGAGAATCATTGTAACATCTAAACTGCTGTGAAATGTATTTTCCATAAACAAAAATATTGTATTTTCAGCTGTTTGAAGCTGGTGTACAAAACCGAAAGTAAAAGATGCAAAAACTCAACTTAAAAACAGGAAGCATAGAAATAGTGCACATAGAACAGATCTACTGCTTCTTAGACTTACTTTAAATGAAAATGACAGATCTATAACTCACATTTCTATGTGAATGTTGTCGGGTCGCCCAAAAAGTTATATGCAATCCAATAGATATATGCTCACAATTCTGTGTGGAATTGACATGTGTTGAGTACTTTTCTTGGATGTGGGGGACTAAGGACTTTACATTATCTAGATGAGGTGATGGCGATCTGAATGTGAAAAATAGGGAATAAGTGCTTGCCGGCTTGGAATTCACAAGGCAGTTGTAGGAACCCTGACTGGCCCACAGAGGGCAGCAGCACATTTGTTATGGAACATAACCTTCAAAAGACACTTGGTTGAATTCACTGTTTAATTATTCAATCACATACAGCTAAAATGAGTCAAGACAATTGCTTTTTTATATATTTAAACTTTATGAATACAACATTATTTTTTATATACATTAAAAACCGAATGAAATCATGTGGGTACAGCGCATGAGAAATTACTGTACACTTGTAAAAATGTTTTTCCCTCCTTCAAATAGAAAACGTGTAATTTACATAGTTTTATAGATACATTTTGGATTGATAGCTACTACACTGAACTAAAATATAAACGCGACATGGAACAATTTCAAAGACTTTACTGAGTTACAGTTCATATAAGGAAATCAGTCAATTGAAATAAATTCATTAGGCCTAATCTATGGATTTCACATGACTGGGAATAGAGAGATGCATCTGTTGGTCACAGATACCTTTTTTTTTTTAAAGGGTAGGGGCGTGGGTCAGAAAACCAGTCAGTATCTGGTATGGCCACCATTTGCCTCATGCAGAGCGACATCTCCTTCGCATAGAGTTGATCAGGCTGTTGATTGTGGCCTTTGGAATGTTGTCCCACTCCTTTTCAATGACTGTGCGAAGTTGCTGGATATTGGCAGGAACTGGAACATGCTGTCATACACGTTGATCCAGAGCATCCCAAACATGCTCAGTGGGTGACATGTCTGGAAGAACTGGGACATTTTCAGCTTCCAGGAATTGTGAACAGATCCTTGCAACATGGGGATGTGCTTTATCATGCTGAAACATGAGGTGATGGCGGTGGATGAATGGCAAAAAGGCCTCAGGATCTCGTCATGGTATCTCTGCATTCAAATTGCCATCGATAAAATGCAATTGTGTTGTCCGTAGCTTATGCCGGCCCATACCATAACCCCACCGCCACCATGGGGCACTCTGTTCACAATGTTGACATCAGCAAATGCTCGCCCACACAACGCCATACACGCTGTCTGCCCGGTACAGTTGAAACCGGGATTAATCCGTGAAGAGCACACTTCTTCAGCGTGCCAGTGGCCATCGAAGGTGAGCATTTGCCCAAAACGCTGGTGGGGACTACGAGCACACAGATGAGCTTCCCTGAGATGGTTTGTGACAGTTTGTGCAGAAATTCTTCAGTTGTGCAAACCCACAGTTTTATCAGCTGTCCGGGTGGCTGGTCTCACATGATCCCGCAGGTGAAGAAGCCGGATGTGGATGTCCTGGGCTGGTGTGGTTACACGTGGTCTGCGGTTGTGAGGTCAGTTGGACGTACTGCCAAATTCTCTAAAACGACGGAGGTGGTTTATGGTAGAGAAACTAACATTCAATTCTCTGGCAACAGCTCTGTTGGACATTCCTGCGGTCAGCATGCCAATTGCACGCTCCCTCAACTTGAGACAGGCGGATGGATTATCTTGGCAAAGGATAAATGCTCGCTAACAGGTATGTAAACACATTTGTGCACAACATTTAAGAGAAATAAGCTTTTTGTACATATGGAACATTTCTGGGATCTTTTATTTCAGCTCATGAAACAGTTTTGTTTAGTATTGCTTATAACTAGCTAATTAAGTACTCTAGGGTAACTTGTTACTCTAAGGTAGGTTTTTTTCTGGATCAATAAGGGGCTTAGGTGGTGGGCGTGGCAGGGGGCTGAATTTTAGAGAACATTTCAGAGGCCCTCATCTTTGCAGTTTTAAAGCACATTTCCTGCGATTCTACATATTCTGCCATGGAGCCGAGAGAAACATTTTCAGTTTTAAAGCACATTTTCTGCAATTCTATGTATTTTGCCATGGCTTATGCTGTGTTCTTTTGCTCAAACATAAAATCTGTACTGCTAAATTAATTGTTTTGGGGATTTTTCAATTCTCCCCGACTGTCTAGCTTTTATTTTAGTGATTGTTAGTTCTCAAAGATTATATTATGTAAGGGATAAACGCCCACGTGCTGTACATTATAAACAAGTATTCAACAATAATGTGGTATAATAAAAAATATGCAGCTCCATTATATTTTCTACATACTTTAGTCATTTAAGTTTACACTGAAAGCGTTTTTCCATCCCGAAAAAAAGTTATTTTTACATTGTTTGGACTTAGGTCACCCGATAAAATGCTTAGGGGGCCCGTCGAAGGATTTCAAAAATCCCTGCAAGACGTGAATATGATGTCATCACGTGGCGCTATTGACGTCATTGATGTCCCACGCAAAGGAGAGAGGTAGGTCCCTCATCTTCTCCTGGAAGACACTGTCAAATCTCTCGCTCTGTGCAACAGTGAAATGGTTCTTCCAGTCCCCAATGGTCCCTGTCAGAGTGTAGATGGAAATCAGTCAAGAATTTAAAAGAGTATTAAAGAGAAATTGCACCACTTTCCAACGTCATTTTCATCATCTCCAGCACAATACCAGTGTACATACAGTATGTGAAAAAGGCACATTTCTATGTTTAGTCTAAAAACCTCTAAAGTTAAGGTTCTACCCGATAACATAATCAAACACTGAGATTTGTGTGACGTGGGGAGTAAGAAAACACCCTCCCTCTGGCTAGAAACTTGTTTTAAATCACAGTTTTTCTTACTTTTAATCCTACCCTGTGATGTCACATTCTTTTTTTTAGGACCTTATCTTTTTAACCACATCATAGAAATGCGCTGTTTTCACATATGTAGACACTGGTATGGTGCTAGAGATAATGAATATGAGGTTGAAAAGTGGCGGAATTGCCCTTTAAGATAAAACAATCAATTTAATTGTCCTTTAGGTTTGCACAAATTATAATCCAGATGGCTGTATATCCATCTGAACATTGGTTCCGTGTAAATGTTCCTGGGACAGTCAGGGGCTGTATATGGGCCTGGTGTTACAAGTACAGTGCTATAAGCCCTTTGTGATTGCCCTTGGCTTGATTGTGGCTGAAATAAGACGCAGCTTGTGCCATGGTCTCGCTGAATCACACACACAAAAATCCTCATACCAGAGTGTATTGATAAGGAGACAGGCGACCATTCTGTTATCAGGTTATATTATGTTGACTTACAAGGTGTGACGTGCATACCTTTCCTCATAAACGTGCCCTTGTTGTGGTCAAGCAGGGAGTCTGGCACCGTCTTGTAGTTAGCCTGCAGGTTCTGTTTCATGGTTCTAAAGGTGCTGTGTTCCACCACACTGGCCATCTGCTCCTCTGTCAAATCCTTCCCTAGAAACCTGCACATCCTCTCCACGATGGAGCGCAGGTCCTGCAACACACACACCGTTCATGCTTCGAGACTCATGCAAACTCACAAGCCAACTCAAGAGTACAGCACAGGATGGACAAGTAGATGGACAGGTAGGTTTTGCCACTGTTGGTACCTTGATCATGTCTTCATATGTGATGTACAGGAAGTTCATGTTGTGTCTTTTAGCGTACCACGTCTTGATGTGCTCAAACCAACAGTTCCCATAAACTGCAACACACACAGCAAAGACTCAAATGGATACTCACACACAGCCTACCACCATGATAGCACAGTTGAGCCTAAGGATACTACAGACCAAAGTGTTTAGAAGGCTTTCGACATCATTCATTTCAAAATAATCACAATTAACTGACTTAACTTATCATAGACCTGGTGTATACTGTAAGCGTAAAGCATTGTTGGCTAGTGCTAACTCCCCATAGAAAAAATATTCAGCCTTGCACATCATGTATGAAATGCATAGTCCTAAACAGGGCCAACGGCACACATTGTACTTACCTTTCCCTTCCATGAATTTCTCAAAGAAATCATTGAAGTCCTTCGGCGTCTCCAGCATGGCTGCATATTTGTGGAAGTGGTAATAGGACACGAGAACATCCTTAGGGTTTCTGGCCACATAGATCACCTTAGGGAAGCAAGGTCATACTGCATATCAATAGATTGATTATTTTTGATAGTCAATCAATATCAGTAGTAATACTTTAATGAAAGTAATGATGAATGGTGATAATAGACTTTGGGTAACACTTAAAGCCTGCAGGTATTATGCATTCTAATGCAGTTATAATGCATTGTAAGACTTAAAATAAGCATGTATACGACCATTTAGAGTATTTTGGTACATAGAGAGATATAACATATTAAAAGCCTTATTATAAGGCATTATAGAGGCTCATAAATAAGTAATAAAGCATTATGCCTGCAGGCTAACACCAATACCAAAGTACTAATTATGCTAAGTGCTAATACCCACAGAATAATACCAAAGTGTTACCAAAATGATTAATGCATTCCACTGACCTTTCCCTTCTTTTGTCTGACGGCGAGCGGCATGAACTTGTACTGCAGGTGGGTGACCCGTAGCCTGGGGGATGGAGTGGCATTAAACTCCTTCTCACCGCCAATCAGCTCGATCCATGGGACGCGCTGCGCGTTGAGATGCTCTGTGGTTGGAGTGACGTCACCTTTGGCTTCTATCAGAGTCAGAATCTGCTGCATCCAGATCGTCCCTGTCAATCATAGCAGAGCAGACACTACAGGTCACCCAGAGGTCATTTCAATTCAATTTAAACTTTACTGTCCATGCAGGGACAATGTGGCATGTCGGTCCTACCATACAATGTACAATACCGTATAGCTTGGCCCTTTCACCTCACTGCACTACCTTTGATTTGATAACACCAACACATTGTTTAACTGACAATTCAGGGGTTTTGATGGGGGAAAATGTAGTGAACTTTTGTTTCTCAGGGATTCTACACTACATGACCAAAAATATGTGGACATCTCATTCCAAAATCATGGGCATTAATATGGAGTTGGTCCGCCCTTTGCTGCTATAACAGCCTCCACTCTTCTGGGAAGGCTTTCCACTAGATGTTGGAACAATGCTGCAGGGACTTGCATCCATTCAGTCACAAGAGCCTTAGTGAGGTCAGGCACTGATGTTGGGCGATTATGCCTGGCTTGCAGTCGGCGTTCCAATTCATCCCAAAGGTGTTCGATGGGGATGAGGTCAGGGCTCTGTGCAGGCCAGTCAAGTTCTTCAACACCGATCTCGCCAAACCATTTCTGTATGGACCTCACTTTGTGCACGTGGGCATTGTCATGCTGAAACAGGAAAGGGCCTTCCCCAAACTGTTGCCACAAAGTTGGAAGCACAGAATCGTCTAAAATGTCATTGTATGCTGTAGCATTAAGATTTTCCTTCACTGGAACTAAGGAGCCTGGCCCGAACCATGAAAAACAGCCCCAGAACATTATTCCTCCTCCACCAAACTTTTACAGTTGGCACTATGCATTGGGGCAGGTAGCATTCTCCTGGCATCCGCCAAACCCAGATTCGTCCGTCGGACTGCCAGATGGTGAAGCGTGATTCATAACTCCAGAGAACGTGTTTCCACTAATCGAGAGTTCAATGGCGGCGAGCTTTACACCACTCCAGCCGACACTTGGCATTGCGCATGGTGATCTTAGGCTTGTGTGCAACTGCTCGGCCATGGAAACCCATTTCATGAAGCTCCCGACAAACAGTTAATGTGCTGACATTGCTCCAGAGGCAGTTTGGGACTCGGTAGTGAGTGTTGCAACCGAGGACAGAAGATTTTTATGCGCTTCGCGCTTCACCACTCGGCGGTCCCGTTCTGTGAGCTTGTGTGGCCTACTACTTCGCGGCTGAGCTGTTGTTGCTCCTAGACATTTCCACTTCACAATAACAGCTGTTACAATTGACCGGGGCAGCTCTACCAGGGCAGAAATTGTACTAACTTACTTGTTGGAAAGGTGGCATCCTATGACGGTGCCACGTTGAAAGTCACTGAGCTCTTCAGTAAGGCCATTCTACTGCCAATGTTTGTCTATGAAGGTTGCATGGCTGTGTGCTCGATTTTATACACCTGTCAGCAACGGGTGTGGCTGAAATAGCCGAATCCACTAATTTGAAGGGGTGTCCACATACAAATATACTATATATACAAAGGTATGTGGACATTGTCCTGCCTACCCTCACTGTGCTACTCCTGCCCTGATACGGTGCTTATGGGACATGGTGTCTGTTACACTTTAATCTAGCCTGGTTTAAACCATTGTTTTCAGCCAATGGGAGAATAACAGGGTATGCAGCATTCCACCTAATGTAAGGATGCGCAGGGAGATTACCGAAGATACCAGTTTTGTTGGCTTAAAACAACTAGGACATTTCTTTCACTTATCTGGGCTGCTGGACTGATACAGGTTGAGAACAGAGCCCACTAACAGATAAGCAAAGTAAACTCCCTAAACGAGATCTACTCAGTTGAGCTGATAAACTGTGTAAGAGGACCTTATAGGAAGAGATGAAAAGAGGTAAGTAGGGCATGCAGGCATGTTTTAAAAGCGGTGAACAAGTGGGTATTCTAGGTAAGTATATCCATGCTGTCTCCAGTGCTCACCTGACTTGGGATAAGTGACTGCGAATATGTCTGAGTCTCGGATCTCCCAGTTCTGGATCTGGTCGACCTCGTCGGGAGAGTGGACCCCATTGATAAGGTTGAAGTTCCGGTGAGGAACCAGGATATAGTCCAGAACCTGGGGATCAGTGGAATCCAGAGGATCTGAGAAGAGAAGACAAAGTCAAAGGCCCACTCATTCAAACAATCTGGATCTATGTATGTAAGCATTAACACACAACAGGGAATAACCACACACCTCCAGCGGTGTGAGAAGGCACGAGGCCGAAGTCCCACTCATCTAGAGTTGACACTCTATATGTGCTTGATTAGACTAAAATCTGAAATAAACACCCAAAAAGCCCAGTAAATAAGGTTGCTATTCCAAACAAATGTTTATATAGCTATCAGATCACAGGGAGCCTGGAGGAAGCCAAGCAGAAATGTTTAAAGGGGCAATCTGGGTAAACAGCTATGGGTTGGGGCTGGAGAAATGTAAACATAAACAGAGCCATGGATGCAAGGACTGACCATGAGTTCAAAATGATAGTTTTGAAACTATACACGGTTTGTTTAAAATAACATTATTTACAAACAAGCTTATATTTTGGGTTCTGATGGGGTAAGACAGTTGACCTAAGCTCATGAGGCATTTATAAGTTATATTCTTCATGAGGCAATGGCTACATGCCATTAAGGCAAAAGTCCTAAAATGTATGTACCAATCCCAGATTGCCCCTTTAACAAAATGAGCCATTGACTAACATTCAAGCACCTATAAACAAAGCCTGGGCACAAAAAAGTATTCCTATGAAGGAAAGCAAATATTGCAGTAAAGATAAATGGTGGGCTTGCTGTGCAACAATGAATTTCTATCTGTAAATCTTAGAGGGGCAAAGAGAATGTTGTTCTGTTCACAGGCTGGTCTGAATCACAGGTGAAAAAAGTCGCCTAGTTTGTGCTCAAGCATTGTCCACCATTCATGGTCCTCTGTAATACTTTCAATCACTTAAAAGGGTGAGACAGATCTTGCATGCAACAGTGCATAATATGTATGCCTATGTACTGTAATGTACACTTCAGACATGCAAACATGTCTCACTGAGGTTCCAAATATGACGACAAAAAACAAAAATTGCGCACGAATGTATCACACAGAGAAAACAACGTAATTACTTGTTTCTAACTATGCCACTCAGATTCTGGTGTAACATTCAATTAACATGATAAAATAGCAATACAAGCGTAGGCACGGTATTCTGCAATAAGCAATATAGCAATCTCTTTGAATTCCAACTATAACTCCACGCACTGCACAGAGCGCGCAGTATTCCCTACCTGTCATTCCACGGGTGGAAGTTGTCATCGTCTGCCAATGTCAAAGTCCACAGTCGGTGTAGGCAACTTTAAAATACCTTGGTCCTCTGGCTTCAGGGAGTTTCTTGCAGTCAATTCACAACTATCCTAAAAAATAAGGGTTTATGATGGATAGCGGGCAGAGCGCAGTCAAATTCGCTCTGTGTGCAATGCGCACCCGAATATCACCTACTGTCCCAATAGAATATGCGCGGAAGACAAACACACATTTCCGCGGGGGTTTTTATTCATGTCGTGCCCGAGGAATACTGATGCCCTATACAATTTAAGCGCGTTCGCGCACGCAGTAGTAGGGACGGAATTTTTGTAACGTAGTCCCCAGGACCAGGCTAATGCGCGGGTGGAGTTCAGATTGATTTGCGCTTTTTAAACACAGCGTTACATACTCCATGCAATGTGCCATATTTTACATCCCCTATGACCGACGAGAAACGGGAAAACGATTTTGATTAGGCTACAGAGGAAATCCGGTATTCTTAACTGGTTTGTTTGCTGAGAAAATTAATTGAGAAACCTTTTTGTGAGGCCACATTTATTTTTGTTTTGTCAACATGTTGCGCACTCACTCACGCACACACACACAAACAAACACACGCTTTCCACCCCGTCCCAGAGTGGTGTGGCGAAAAATAATTCTGGGGCAGTAGTCTTTCCTGTTCTGGTAACCTAACAAGGTAAAACTCAGGACCTTATACGGTATGTCGTGATTCATCTGTTGTAAAAAGGTTTAATATGGGCTATGATGGGACCAGAGTTTTTCTAATCAGGTCACATGGTTTAAAAAAAACTCCTGTCCTTGGGGAGGTTGAAAACACTGTCAAACTGCAGCAACCTTGTACTTTACATATTAATTATATTTTAAAGAAGGACTAGGGGTTTTCCTATACACATACAGAGAACGCAACATGATTGGACAAAGTTTTCTGTATGCGGGTTTGTTGCATCATGTAGTCCAGCCCTATGCAACTCTAGGCCTAAAAAAAAATGTACTCAGTCTGTTAGCTAGTGTTTATTGATTAATTCCAGTTAATAATTTTGGATTTAAAAAGTCTAGGTAGCCTAGTCAGTCCAAGTTTGAAAATAGTCCCCTGTAGCTCAGTTGGTAGAGCATGGCGCTTGCAAGGCCAGGGCTGTGGGTTCGTTTCCCACGGGGGGCCAGTATGAAAATGTATGCACTCACTAACTGTAAGTCGCTCTGGATAAGAGCGTCTGCTAAATGACTAAAATGTTAACCAAATTTGATCCAATTCACATTGCCTCACAAACAAATGGACTATAAATACACAACGTTACCCCTTCGTTTACCCTGGCCAGAGGGACAGGGCGCATAGTAGGCTAGATTATGCAGCTGCTGTTAGTAGCCTACAGTTGATTAGACTGAAAAATAGTCTCGTTTCCATGCAGTACAGCACGTCAGATCGCTAATGTTTAGGCTGCTACATTTATGTAATTGTTTTTGCTTGTGTCTGTCTGGAGTGATGTGTTATCAGGTTTACTAAATAAATACCAGAGGAACTTGGCGACCGGTTTAAATTTTGTGCGTTGTGCCCAGCCCGCGTGACCTGCGATTTCCGTGAATCTGATTGGTTAAGACATGCAAAGAGCCTGTAGCAGCACTCAGGTGTGAAGGACAGATAAATTGTCTTCGAGTTGACAAATCATGAGGCAAATTGTTCTAAAATACAGCACTTTTCCCCTCTTTTTGTTTTGCGTCGATAACTTTTATTAAACTAAATCAAAAGTGGTGATTGAAAAGTGTCGTGCATGGACCCTTATACTGCTGATGGATTAATGTTTTGTTAGCAATAAACCATAAAAATAACCTTTCACCAGTTTGTGCAATTTATCTAATATGACAGTACTATATGTCCCTATACAATATATATTTATTCTCTGTTGAACTGATAAGGACATGCATAGTCGCAATCCACACTCAAACTGTTAGTTATCAGTGAGCTGTCACATTGCTGAGAGGGCATGGACAGCAGTCAGGACAGAGGCTTGGAGGAAAGAATGTACCAGAGAAGAGTTTCTCCAAACAACCCACAGACCGCAGTCCTACCAGTTCAATAGTAATTAGAACATTCCAGTCAGTGGCCTGGGAATAATCTGTATTACAGAATGTCCTTTTCACCCGCGAAAAAAAGTATCTGTCCTGTTCTCATAGCAGTGATCGTGTTGCCAGGTTGCTTGCCAGGAGGGTGTGAGTAAGGGTGTGTGTCATGTGTGTTTGTATATATATATATATATTAGAATGAGTCTTGAGACGCCACTTGCAAAACATCAAGGAAACCTGAGTCTTCTACAATGCTAATGGGCCTACAATCCTTTGCAATCCATTTTGCTATTGTGTTGGTCAAATTATCTGAGGTTGATTTTGTTAATTGCCTGCAAACATTCAGCGTGGTCTGGCGCAAACCACTTGCTGAATCTGACGGCCCAGCAAACGCATGTTTGGCGTTGACATGGTACTTCAAGCTTGAACAGCTCCGGTGAAATTGAAACTCCTTCTTACAAATCTTGCAAATAACCTTGTACTTGTTAACTGTACCATCATCATTGTTTTTATATTTGAATCCGTCAATAGGCCCACTTTGCTCACCTTGCTCCATCTCGCCTCTAGCTCCCAACCACTTTCCTGACCTGAATAATTTGTCACACTGCGCATGCGTGAAATGCGTTAAAAAAATTGACGTAATTAACAGCAAACAACTAATTAACGTCGTTAACGCGCTATTTTTGACAGCCCTATATATATATATATATACACACACAGCTGTGGGAAAAATTAAGAGACCACTGCAAATTTTTCTTAAATCAGCATCTCTACATGTATGACAGCCATTCCATTCCAGTGTCTGTTGAATTCCAACACAGGCACACCTCATTCTACTGAATTAGGTACTGATTAGGTGATCACATGAACCAAATCTTATTTAACAAGCAAAAGTATAAAAACCACTGCTGTGGTCATCACTATCTGCTTGCAATAGGACCAGCTGGATGGCAAAAACAGTGCTAATAGTACCTCAAAAGTAATATTAATAAAAAAATAACAATTGACCATGCCAAAAGAGTTGAAAAGGAAAGTTTTGAGTGAGGAAAAGAAGGGTTCAATTCTGGCTTTACTGGCAGAGTGATACAGTGAGCGACAGGTTGCTTCCATCCTTAAAATGTCAAAGATGGCGGTTCATAAGAACATGGTCAAGCAGCAGACATTGGGGACAACAAAGCTACAGACTGGCAGAGGGCGAAAACGACTCTCTACTGACCGGGATGACCGCCAACTCATTCGAATGTCACTCAACAACCGTAGGATGACATCAAGTGACCTACAAAAAGAATGGTAAACGGCAGCTGGGGTGAAGTGCACGGCGAGGACAGTTCGAAACAGGCTCCTAGGGGCAGGGCTGAAGTTGTGCAAAGCTAGAAAAAACCCTTAATCAATGAGAAGCAAAGAAGAGCCAGGCTGAGGTTTGCAAAATACCATAAGGATTGGACCGTAGAGGACTGGAGTAAGGTAATCTTCTCTGATGAGTCCAATTTTCAGCTTTGCCCAACACCTGGTCGTCTAATAGTTAGATGGAGACCTGGAGAGGCCTACAAGCCACAGTGTCTCGCACCCACTGTGAAATTTGGTGGAGGATCAGTGATGATCTGGGGGTGCTTCAGCAAGGCTGGAATCGGGCAGATTTGTCTTTGTGAAGGACGCATGAATCAAGCCACGTACAAGGTTGTCCTGGAAGAAAACTTGCTTCCTTTTGCTCTGCTTGTTCCAACTCTGAGGATTGGTTTTTCCAGCAGGACAATGCGCCATGCCACACAGCCAAGTCAATCAAGGTGTGGATGGAGGACCACCAGATCAAGACCCTGTCATGGCCAGCCCAATCTCCAGACCTGAATCCCATTGAAAACTTCTGGAATGTGATCAAGAGGAAGATAGATGGTCACAAGCCATCAAACAAATTTTTGCGCCAGGAGTGGCATAAAGTCACCCAACATCAATGTGAAAAACTGGTGGAGAGCATGCTAAGACGCATGAAAGCTGTGATTGAAAAATCTGGGTTATTCCACCAAATATTGATTTCTGAACTCTTCCTAAGTTAAAACATTACTATTGTGTTGTTTAAAAATGAACATTAACTTATTTTCTTTGCATTATTCGAGGTCTGACAACACTGCATATTTTTTGTTATTTTGACCAGTTGTCATTTTCTGCAAATAAATGCTCTAAATGACAATATATTTATTTGGAATTTGGCATTTTTAATTTAACACATACCTATAAATAGTAAAACCAGAGAAACTGATAGTTTTGCAGTAGTCTCTTAATTTTTTCCGCAGCTGTATATGTGTGTGTGCGTGCATGCGTATCTGTTCACTGAAGCCGCACGTACCCAAAGGGCCCCGGCCCCCAGATACTGTAAGAAGACAAAAGCTGCGCCTGCGGTATGTTCCTCCTCAATTGGAACAGGACAGAGGGTTAAAGTGTCTGACTCAACACTAAATCATCAGTGGTCTCTATGTCACCCCATGTAACCTATGACTCATGTTTGAGAAAGGGGAGAACTACTTGGTCTTGTTTTCTGATTTGACAGTACATGAGGGGCTGGCCTATTCCTACTTCTAGTGAAAGACAGTGTGGGCCGAAGATGCACCAGGTGCGTCTCTCCATGGATGCACTCCGTTTTTTGTGTGTTTTTTTTTTACAGTAATTTCTGGTAGTTCAATAAATATATTAATACATTTTCCACTCTCATTCTCAGAGTGGACATGTTGTTTGCAGAGCTCAACAACGCTACACTTGTGTGCCCTTACGACTGCTACAAGGTCCCAATTCTACACTCAGGAATAGGTTGAGAATTTGAACAGAACAGAGAAAAGGGCAGCGTTAAAATACATAATTTATTCCCTTAATAAAATGTCAAAGAAAATTCAACAAAATGTTTTTGGCAGTTAGAAATGAAATTTACATTCACAGTAAAATGAAGGCGACAACTGCATTCCAGCATCAAGGGATCCTCTCGGCTTGCAGTGTTCTTGAGTTGAGAATGCGGGTCTGACAAACAAAAAACTAATCAATATCGAAATCGAATAGTTGATTCCCAGTTCAGTTCATGATTGTGTTCAGTAGGGCACATTGTAGCAAAACGCTTTACAACTGAAAGGCAAAACCTGTGCTCTTATTTGAGAATTTCAGGTACAATCTCTCTGTTTCACTTAGTTTCAAATGGTTTTACCCATACGGAACACCATCCAGATGATCAAATACTGTACCTATGTGCAGTTTAGAGCCATTCACTCACCCGTTTCTCCTCGGGGGAGAGCACGCCCTCTACAGCCACCACCTGGTACTGCCTATGTTTCAGGTTGCCAGGAAACTTCCTCATGCGGCGGACAGCTGTGGTAACAGTGGAGCCATCTTGGCTCAGCAGTTTCCTCACATCTCCAGGTGAACAGCCAGGGTCCAGGAGCAACAGGCACAGGCTGCCATTCTTCTTCTGTTCCACTCCTACTATAGAGCGGCTATGGCCTGAGGATGTCGATAGAAGACATGGAGGAAACACACTAAAGCTTTGTTCACACTAAAGCTCTTAATGCTGAAATCAGTTTTGTTTTTCAAATCCATTTTGGACTACTGACTGTCCATACAGTAAGTTACAAGTTACCAAATCAGATGTGTGTGATCAGACAGCAGTCATTTGCTGACATGTCTACGCTGGTTGTCATAGTAACGACGGGTGTGTGCACAGTGGTGTAGGGTGATTGATTGGTGGTGGTGCTCGTGCTTCCTATCACTCAGAAGTTATGTAGCAAGCTAAGGTGACAACAATTCCTGCCATGGACATTTCTCCAGTTGCTTTGAATGTTCAAAATCATAGTGTAAGAACACTTTTAAAGCCTCAAAAGATAAGATGATCCAACTTTCAAAATGAATATTTTGGCTAGCCACAGCAGTCAACTAGCTGGTTAGGTAGCTGTTTAGCTTTCTAGCACATTCACTACTTTGTTTGTGAATGTGCTAGAATTAACTCACTTGCTTGTTAAACAATTAACAAGCAAGTTAGCTACCACGTGTTCTTGTCAAACTGTCAACAGAGTAGCTAGCAAGCAACAAGATATGCCAAATAACACTCTAAAAAACCACTTGAGTGCAAATAAATCTGTCACATGGCCGGGAATCAGATTTGTATCCAACTTCAAAACACCTATGAAGGTGGTTTGAAATATGGCTTGAAATATCAGATTCCATGTGCTTTTTGGCAGTTCAGACTGCAGGAAAAATAATAGATTCGATTTGGATATGCAAATAAATAGGATTTGAGTCACTTCAAACTGTCAATGTGAATGCGGCTTTAGAGATAACACAGACACCAGATGTACACACTCAGACAAAATAAACAAACAAATCTCCCTCAAACACACTAGTACTGAGCGATTAACCAAAATGTCAGTTATTTTTCTGTTTTTAATCAACTAATTGACCGAAATAGATTCAATTATTTTAATTCCATTTCATTCGTTTTTGTTCTGTGAGCTCGATGTGCAATTTCTCTAGAGATAAATCAGATCAAGCCCAAACTGTGCGATGTAGTAGGGAGTTGAAGTTTCCAACAGGCCAATATTCTACATAGTTTAGTGCAGAAAACGTGGTAATTAACTACAATGACTATAATCCATTGCGCACCCCCCTACTTGTCTGGTCTGTGTGGAGCACGTGCATCGAGAGGGATGGAAAGCAGTTGCTTCGAAAGGTATCTCTACCTGAAAATACACGATCTAAGTGATTGATAGTTGGTATTCAGCAGTCATAGTAGTTGAAGAACTACTAAAATAGTGATTTTGTCAGACAGCATAGTTAGCAGCTCTATAGAGATGAGATGACTTGGAATGAAATAATAAAGTCATCAAATAAAACAAATGTAATTTACACAACTGAAATATTTTATTAAAGTAAAGTAACTGTGAATAAATGATGGTTAATAAGTGATAAGCAGTAATGGACAGTCACTACCATCATGGGACTTTTATTGTTGTATTGTTGTTACAGCATACAACCCACATAATGTATAGTGAATTTAATGTAAAATAATAATATTGAAACCGAAATTGAAAACCGTGATTATTTTTTAAATAATCAAACCAAAACAGAACCGACCTCAAAAAGCACTAATCACTCAGCACTAAAAGACAAACAAGCAAACATAAAATAGACACACGCCATAAACGTGTAACCCACATCATCACCTATTCCATCCAATCCACTAAACCCATGTTAAGACTACCTTGGTGCTGGAGGTAGAGGGGCGGCTGTGTGGTCTGCACCACCCGGGGCGGTAGTCTGGCACCTCTGGTGGCAGTCTGAGAGAAGTACTGCTTCACCCAGTCAAAGAGGCGGGGGTGAGTGTCCCCTGGGCCTGTGGGCTGGTGGAAGTCTAGAACACGGGCACTGTGGGGACACAGGTTAGAGGTAACTGACTGAAAACAGACTCCATTTTCAACCACGTACATTCTATAGTGACTCGGAACACCTTCCTAATATTGAGTACCCCCCCTCCCCTCAATTCGTCAGGGCATGGACTCTACAAGGTGTCGAAAAGCGTTCCACAGGGATGCTGGCCCATGTTGACTCCAATGCTTCCCACAGTTGTGTCAAGTTGGCTAGATGTCTGGGTAGTGGACCATTCTTAATACATACGGGAAACTGTTGAGTGTGAAAAACCCAGCAGCGTTGCAATTCTTGACACACACCGGTGCGCCTGGCACCTTCTACCATACCCCATTCAAAGGCACTTCAATATTTTGTCTTGCCCATTCACTCCCAGAATGGCACACACACAATCCATGTCTCAATTGTCTCATGGCTGAAAAATCCTTCTTTAACCTGCCTCCTCCCCTTCATCTAAACTGATTGAAGTGGATTTAACAAGTGACATCAATAATGGATCATAGCTTTCACCTGGATTCACCTGGTCAGTCTATGTCACGGAAAGAGCAGGTGTTACTTTTTATTTTGTAAACTCCCTGTGTGTGTGTCCATTCAGGTGTATCTAATTCAAATGTAGCTGGCTACACAAATGTGTTATGTTCTAATACGTGTAGTATGTGACTCTCTGAGCTCTAACCTGACTCTGAGGGAGGTGCAGAGAGCGTAGATCTCCGTAGCTCCTATCCAGGCCCGTGTGCCCTGTAGTCGCTGGTTAAAGTGGGTTGCGCCCTGTGGGTCTAACCCCTCCCGCCACGCCCCTTCTATCAACACCTGCACCTGGGGGATGCTGGGTACTGAGCCCTCAAGGAAAACATGCCATCGATAGAAGATTTAAGAGAGAAAGTTAGTTTAGGAGATTACATGGTGGAAAGGCTTTTTGAGAGGGCTGCATTCAACCGTTTCATTAAGCGATCCAGACAGCTACTGGGTTTGACAGAATGGTAAACAATTGTAGAATGTGATGTTTTGGAATATGTGTTTCTGTCTGTGTGTACCCGAGAGACAGGTAGTGTAGGGCTCCATTCTTTGCAGAGAGGACAGGAGCATCTGGAAGTTTCTGTAGCCACATCCCCAGCCCTTATCCCCCTCTGACGAGCAGTAGTGGTCTGTTTCAGCACTCAGCCACACGTGGACACAGTCTCTGGCCTCCCTCTGGTAGTAAACATACAGAGCACCCAGCACGCCTGACAGAATGAGAGGAATACAATAAACTAAGAGAATGACAAAGAGAAAAGGGGGGGGGGGGGGTCATTTCCTGTGTGTGTCTCTGAGTAATGCCAGAGATGTAGGTGGTAGCTAGACAGCTGTATAAACAGATAACATGATGTGATCTGAACAACTCAGTTTGAGAACAGAGTGAATAATGAGGGAGCTATGTTAGTCAAGATCCGGATAAGAAACTGAATCTCACACACACACCCTGCGTTCTGGTCTTGCCATCGTCGACCCCTGAGGCCAGAGCCTCCATCATCTCTGCTCTCTTGTTGTGGAAGTCAGCAGGCACCATGACACCTCGAGACACGGCTTTCTCCATGGTCCTCTCCATCTGTCTGCGGTAGCCCCCCCTCCCGTCCACACCAAACTGCCTCTAAACACACACACACACACACACACACACACACACACACACAGCAAGGGGTCAGGGTGAGGTCACCACCACACTCAGCATACATGAGCAGACACACGTATACTTTCAATTATGCTGACGTGCAGAGACACAAATAAACCACATACACTCCCTACATAAGCCATGTGACAAAGCACAGACACACGTCATATTGTGCATCATGCAGCAAGGTCAAATCCACTACTCCAGGGTTATTATGGTTGTGCTTTATAAGAACCTGCAGCTTCTTGAACTCCTCTGCCTCCCGCTTGGCCTCCTGCTCCTTCCTCCTCTCCTTCTCCTCCTCCTGCAGTCCTCTGGCCAGCCTCAGGTCTGAGCCAGGGCTCACTGCAACACACACAGCAACACAGCGTCAGTCACAATTCCCTCTCTCTAATACACCATGGGAATCAACCCTGTACACACAAAACAGATGTGAGGACAGCTGCATGTATGAGCTCAGCGGCATATGTTAGCAGGTTGTAGAAGTTCGGTTTGGTTCAGTTCAAACTTCATAGTCCCCAGAGGGAAATTCATCGTTCAAAACCGGACACACAAAGGACAAATTACACATAATGATTTTGCAACTTTAGGAGCTGGCTGGCAATAAAGTGCATCTGCAAATCAAATACGGGGTACTACACCATTCTCTATCTCTACCGAGACCCTGTGTTTACATGTTTATGGTATAATAACAGTCATAACATTGTCATAACATGGCTACATCTAAGCAGGAGATAAAACGTGTTGGAAGCATAAAGTGGGAACTAAATAGATTTATCATTAATAATAATAATAATATGCCATTTAGCAGACGCTTTTATCCAAAGCGACTTACAGTCATGCGTGCATACATTTTTTGTGTATGGGTGGTCCCGGGGATCGAACCCACTACCTTGGCGTTACAAGCGCCATGCTCTACCAACTGAGCTACAGAGGACCACAACCCCTTTACACTCGTACCCATATACAGGTTGAAAATAGCAGATTTGGGCACTAATAAATGCCTAAATTGGAACGCAGTGGCTGTACAGTAACATGCTATACATGATGTCAGAGCTCTGGCTCTGCGCTTCACAGAGCCGTATGGGTTTTTCCCATACAGCCGTTCTGAACATGAGCATCTCGCGTGACAAGAAGTTGTGCCCATACCTCCCGCTAATTGGGCAACTTTTGCAAATATTTTGTTGTCTGAGTGAGGGAAATGCTGTAAATTAAGAGGACTCAATGTATTTTGAAAGATGAGATGTTGAGGATTATAATAAATATCGCTTTGATGTCATACAAGCAAGCCAAACACCCGATTCCAAATGTGCACTTCACATATCCAAATCATAAAACTTGTGTAATATACAGTGTCAACATTTATGATCACTATGTTTGATGTGCAGTTACAAGATGTCATGGCGTAATACCCTGGGTTGTTCTGAACAGAATGAGCCCATGTTTGTTTATTGTGAAGAAAATTTGCCGTGGCACACGCACCTGAATGCACTCATCATGACTTATTTCTATACGCATCAAAATGATGATCCGTTTCTCTGAATTGCATTGTGAAAACCTAGCACTGTAATATTGTATTTTATAACTTAGCTAGTCAAGTTGGCAATAGAACAGGCTTTCAAATGATGCCCATCTGACCCAGATTGCGAATTATAACGGACAATTTTGGGATTGTGTAAACAACAACAGTAATTGTGTGATGGCGGGACGCAGGGCTGTGTTCCAAACATAACTACTAGTGTGCTTGCTCTAGTTCCTCAACAGCACAGCTAGGAGAGCTCAAAAAAATAACCTTATAGTTGAAGACTTTTCTTTGAGTCATATAAGTGCATTGAAATGACTTAGGAACTGTGCACACTTTGGAGAGGTGTGTGGCCACTTGGAGACACCAGTTAGTCCGCTCACTCAAACTCTTGTATTTATTTTTTCTTATGTTGCACCTACCCCACATTTTCCAGGAATATTCTTATAATGTATTTTCAGATTTCGTTATCAACAAATGCAGCGAAAAGTACAGTAAATGTAAAATGCACATACAAAACAGTGTAATGTTTTGATTCAGTCTTGTGAACTGTTGTGTTCTCACCTTTGGTCTAATAATTTCCCCATAATCTCCAAATGATCCCTTTCAATTGCTACCATGGTTATTCATATGCTTTTCATATTTATTCCTTAAGAAACATTTCAATTTAGCCCTATCCATATAGGACAATTCCCACAAGTGTAAAGGGTTAAGAAACACATTTTTGGTATATTTTTCCCCCAGGCATCAGTTATAAAATCCCAATGAAACCTCTGTTCCCATCACATATGATTGTTTAAATCAAGCCATACCTGCACTAGTGGCTGTGCCATAGTCCAGATGCACCTCCACATGTTCCTGTAGGGAGTAGCAGTCGCCACACACCACAGAACACATGGGACACTCATAACTCTTCCCACCTGAGGACGAGGTCATCGACACACACAGTGGTTAACGGGGATAGCTACGGGGGATTTTTATTTAATCATTATTTATCCAGGTTATTCTTGTTGAGATAAAACCTCTCTTGCAAGGTCATTTTGCTTTTTGGGGGAATACTAGAACTGAGCAGAGAGAGAGCAGACCGAGAGCCTTAACCTCTGTGGATCAGACATAGGCAGGCTTCTCCTTCCTTTGTTTGGTTGAACTATATTTGTTCCTATGATGAAAAACATGAGACGAACCTGAGCTGTTGCTGGATGAGGGTGATGCTGCCTCGGTTGATGATGTGGCCCCCAGGACAGCCTCTGAAAAGACAGATACAGATGTCAGAGACTTTACACAATGGATTGGGCACCATGTTCTGTCTGTGCTGAACTGTGTAGACTCAGCCTGTCATGAGTGCTGGTTTGTACAGTAACAGTATGGTCTGTGTAGTCTATATGTTCTGAACTGTAGATACTATACCTTCAACTGTGCTCTCTTCTAGCAGGTGCAATTCAACATGTTCCTGTAGGATGAAGGCATCGGTGCAGACCAGAGCACACATAGGACAGGGAAACTGCTTCTCTACAACAGACACACAGTACATAACAATGAGACACAGGATGTTGACAAGACTAATGCAATCCTTAGCGAGGAGTTTTTCAACCCACTCCACACAGCACTCGAATGCAGCACAGGAGAAGCTTCGGTAGCAGGTTCATCCTGCCCAGAAGCTCCACAGAGCAGTTCAGAAGGCCATTTTTACCCACAGCCATGAGGCATTTTAATGAGTGTAAATGACTAATGTATGATGCCTTCTTAATAGGAATGTTGTTATTGTTTGTTTCCCAGGAGTAGGATAGATCTTAAACAGTATTTATCTTAAACTGGTCTCCATCTTTTATGGCTATTAACGTGCAGGTGCCTTCTTAGGTGTCTTATGCGTTTTTTTTATCATGTGTTTGTCTTTCATTCGGGTCTTGTCTTTGTAATTTATTAGGCAGGTTGTCTAGCTCCTGCCTATCTTTTCTTTGGATTGGTGGATTATTGTAATCCTTTTTTGAATATTTGATGAGGGTTGTTGAAGTCAACCGCCTGTATCCACTGGAGTGAGATGCTACTAGCCTCATCCCATGAATATGCATAGCCATCTCCAGACAGTGTGTTTTTTCTCAAGTGACAAAGATGTGTCCTACTTATATCAGTACACTCCTAACAACTTAAGCATTACAAAACTTATATTAGATCAAATAAACCTCACGTAGCAGATAAGCCATACATTTTTTTGTTGACCAACTTGGACACTCTCATTGACCTTGCTTGGTGGGCGAAACAACGAAAAAACGCCACCTGCTGGAGGGAGACAGATTTTCCGCCTAGTTGGGCCTCCCTCTTAGGTACAACCAAACCAACTAGGCCTAATATCAGTCAGTACAAAAAACAAACTGATGAGGTTTACAAAAACGTGTTGCAATCAACGATTGATTTAAGTGAGGCAGAGCGTACCGACGTTTACACATTGCCCGCAAGCGCCAGATAGCATGGACTGTTAATTGGATGCAATGACAGTTCATCAATGGGCTATCAGTACAAAAAAACAACTAATATCACTCAGTATGACAAACCAAATCATATCTGTCAGTACAACAAACCAACGTATATTAGTCAGTACAGATGTAACAACATGTTGAATAAACAAACATTTCGAACACACTTAAATCAACCTTTAAGTGGGGAGGAGAAACGCTTCTGTTTGACTTTGGTGTGCTCTGCGGATCCCACTCCCAAAGACTCCTCAGCATGACAGTGTCTGCTAGTAGGCCTACTGGAGTCCTGAGCTGATATCAGAAAGCCTGTAGACACTGATGAGGTGGGTCCAACAATGGCCACTGCTCGCCCTCCACTGGACTCCCCCCCACTAAAAGCTGTGTACCCTGGAGGCGTGGGGGTTACAGTCATTAGCTCCTTAGACACCAGTGTGCTATTGGATGTCCTGAGTGAGACCCCTCCTCCAATGGTGTCAAACCTGTTCCCATTGGCTACTCCTCCTTCAGAACCCTCAGACCTAGACAAACCAATGGCTTGTTTGCAGTGACTGTCCACTATGGTGGTTGTGGTGGTGGGAATAGGCATTGAGCTGGGCCTGACAAGACTGTGACCACCTCTACCCTCTGCTCCGTCATGGTCCTGTTTCTCTTTGTGTGCGGTATTGATGTGGAAGTGGAGTTCGTCGTAGGAGACTCTGGAAAGGGAACAGAGGGGGCAGCCCATGTCATTCTCCAGGTGGCTCAGGAGGAGATGGGTCTTCATGTCCTCCTCCAACACCAATTCCTCGCCACAGATCTCACACGTCAGCATGGCTTGTTGTTTCTGGTACTCAGCTGTCACACTAACACTGAAATGAAGATACATTAAGATAACATTGTCAGTAAATAAAGAGGATTTAACTGGAAGGATATCAATCCACTGTACACCAAATGTACCCAATAACGAAACAACGCAATTCCCATCTTGTCAGCCAAGATAGCTAGCCAAATTCGAACTCAACTAGCATTGTTAATTCAGAATTTGTCTACTAGTCAACATGTCAGGCTATGGGCTAAAACGTGACTTCACGAACGCTGAAAGCTAGCTAGCTAACCATCATGTTACTCACCGATTTCAAGAATATGGACGATGTGCCGTACTATTGCTTGACTTATGTGACTACTTTCAAAAGAAATGTGTTTCTGTTTCACTTTTCCTTCAAATGTCAGCTTAGCAATGCTAGCTAACAACGTTTGACTCTACTGGCCCAGTTGAAAAAGAGTCGGCGCAAGGCTGCGGTTTGAACTGATGGATTTGACGTCACTGGTTGTTGATCCAAGGAGGGTTACTGGGAAATTTTTAAGCGATACAAGACGCCATATTGCTCTCAGCTGGACTTGGGAGGTTGCGTAAAGGAACTAATAATACCTAGCTACACCTAGGCGTTTCTGACATTATTCATCTTAAATGGGTAAGAGCAATACAATCGTCACAACCTTTTTATTGTCGTTTTCTTTTTTAAATCACGAATTATCGGATAACTTGGCATGATGATGGTTGCTAAACAAGAGGGGACAGGGGTGTGAAGGAGCTAGCTATCTAGCTCGCGAACGCTAGCTGTGTTATTAGCAAGATCAATCTCTTAAAAAGCTGTGATTTGGGTCTAATAATGGCAGTTTTAGCTACCATTGCCTATTATAATTGGTTTTACAGCTGATTTGAAGTATTATTTTGCTAACGATACGAATACTTTAGAAGGTTTTTGAACACCATGTAATTTAATTAAATTAGCACCTATCATTTATTAGCCAGCATGCTACTACTATTTGCTGTGTGCTAGGCCAGTGGTTCCCAACCTTTTTTGGTTACTGTACCACCAACTGGATTTTTCTCTGGCCGGAGTACCCTTGAAGTACCCCATCATGTGCATTTTACCAGTAAGCCTATGGTCTCAGGTACCTCCTGTGGATTGGCCAAGGACCCCCCCAGGTAGTACCGCTGGTTTGGAACCACTGTGCTAGGCCGTACTGTACTAACGTTACTAGTTAGAGAGGAAACCGGTTTCTTGCGATTGGAGATATCCAGCCTTGAAGACGACTGATTCCCCCAGAAAATACAACAAACAATGTCAATGTGAAGCTGTCAACAAGACAGTGGCTAATGTTAGCTAACATTCATTAGCTAGCTAATTAGCTAGCTGATGCGCTTGTCATCTTTATCTAGCTAGCTAACTTGCTAGCTAACTTGCTAGCTAGGAATGGCATTCTTTGATTCTAGTTAGCTAACACAGAGATTACTAACAGCTGAGATCATCAAACGCTATCTTAGTTTTAGCCTGCCTAATCTAACGTTGATGATATTATGATGACAGCAAGCTCGAAACATTTGGTATTGTGTTGCTTTGATCACCAGTCTTCTTCATCAGCTGTCAAACTGTCACCCCAACTGCTGTTTTCGTGTGAAGATACGCATGGCAGGGTTTGTCTCAAACCACCTTTTGGCCAACAAATCCAAATTCACATCGAGAGTGATTTAATTTATTTGAATTTCCATTAGCGCCTATGTTGAGGTAGCCTAAATTGCACTATACTAGCATAGATTCTCTGCTAGACGCGCGGTCATCGTTATCAAGACTTCTAACAGCTCTAACTCCTAGCTAAGAACTCCAACAGATTCTGTGCTAACCGACATTACTGCCCCCACCATCCTTTAACGCTATCTTTAGTTTTAGCTGCCTTAATCTAACGTGTGATATTACTATACGCAACACTGCCCGCTCAGAACATTCGGTATTGTGTTTGCTTTGATCACCTATTCTTTTATCCCACTGTCACTGTATACCTCTGCTGTTTTTTTATAGCATTGTGTGTTGTTTCAACACCTTTTTGGTTCACAAATAAATCACTCGGTAGGCTGTAAGTTAGATTTTGAATTCCACTTATCGCGCATGTGACAATAAATTGAGTTATAGTCAGTCAAGTTTGGCTGGTTGTGTCTTCTGTAAATTCACAAGTTTGTATATTTGATCTTTTAGGATAACATATGTTAACCCTTATTTCCCCAGACGAGATGGCAAGCCCAGGGAATGACCGAATGAAGAGTTACAAGAACAAAGCGCTGAACCCACAGGAGATGCGCCGGAGGAGAGAGGAGGAGGGGATCCAACTCCGCAAACAGAAGAGAGAAGAGCAGGTAGGGTGCTTCTAGTTCTTACACCTGGACCACTGAATCAGCTACTCTCAATTCTGTGGAGACAAATCTAATCTCATCCAATTTCAACCATGTAAATTCCTTTGAATGGTAAATCTTCTCCAAATATGAGTAATTTTTGTATTACCTGTTATAGTTGTGTTTGGTTTGTTTGTGTGGTGACCTGCTAACACTTATCGCTCCCTCTTCCCCCAGCTGTTCAAGAGGAGGAATGTGTGTGTGCCCTCGGGCGATGAGTCCATGTTGGAATGCCCTATCCAGGACCCTGACATCAGCTCCACTGCACCAGTCTCAGGTGTAAGTGACCATTACTCCTATTGTCCCATTGTCTTACTCTCATGGTCTACACTATGCACAGAGGGACTAGCTACCTGTTGAAAGACAATGCCACTACTCCATAAAAGAAGTAGAAAGAATGTTGGGGGAAACAGAAGTTTTTGGTTTTCAAATCAATCTGTGATTAAAACTAGATGAAGGTCATTAGACCCATGTGCACTTTACGTGATAAACCTGTCAGGTGTAGTTCTACATCGCTTGCCCTGCAATATGTGTGTGTATAGTGTCAGAGTACATGGTTTTGTAAGACATTCATGTCTTTTTGTATGTTGACTTGTGTGTGTTTGTAGGAAGGTGTCATAACTCCAGACATGATCCAGATGATCTTCTCTGAGGATCCAGACCAGCAGCTGATCGCCACACAGAAATTCAGGAAATTACTCTCCAAAGGTCTGTGTGAATCATGCAATTCATAACAATCCCAATGCAGGGCTCATGCCATCTGTATGATCTTGGATGCATCCCCGATGGGAACCAATTCCCTATTTAGTGCACTACTTTTTATATAGGGAATAGGGTGCCATTTGGGACGGACACATAGTTTGGTCTTGTATAGTATGTTTTCTCAACAACAAATGTGGATTGTTTGTGCCTTGATTAGACGTGATGCTATTCCATCCACACCGTATTGGAATGTTTCGGCATCACATGTTTTCAGCCATGAACCAGGATGTGTTTAAGCTAGTAGGGTGATGTCATTGTCATGCTCTCTTCTCTCTCATCAGAGCCCAACCCTCCCATCGATGAGGTCATCCTCACCCCAGGGGTCGTCAATAAGTTTGTGGAGTTCCTCAAGAGGAGTGAGAACTGCACTCTTCAGGTGAGTCAGGTGGCTGGGTCTGTTAGTTCGATGTGCTGGGAATTATTGGTTTGGTCTGTTAGAAATCGTAAAATGTATTCACTACACACAATGACAGATTCTGTAATATCATAGCACATCCTGTTGGTATTAGTCAGTCTGCATGACATCTGCATTGTATTGCTCCCTGCCAAAATACCTTTATTAGTGAACTTTCCTCTGACTCTTTATGGCACTCAGTCAGTCATAACTCTTCAGCCTGTGTATCTGTCTGTTAGGGCTTATACTATGCTCCACATGTGTCCGTGGTGTGAAATGCCTGTGTGTGTGACACAGTTTGAGGCAGCCTGGGCCCTGACCAACATTGCCTCAGGGACCTTCCTGCACACCAAGGTGGTTATCGAGACAGGAGCAGTGCCCATCTTCATCGAGCTGCTCAACTCGGACTACGAGGATGTCCAGGAGCAGGTGACTGAACAGCCTGGGTAGGGGGGCGGCTGAGGCCCCGGGGGGCAGAGTTGCAGCAGGATGGGACACTAACACATGGGTCACATGGATAGCTAGCTGGAATGAGATGTCATGGGATTTGTCCCACCAAGAAGATCCTATCTGAATAGTAAACCAGCTATGTTTGCATTCCCTAAATATAAACTCTATGGCTTCATTCCGATTCTCTACTCCTCTCCCTGAAGTGTTCTCTTGTTCACTCCCCCTCATGGGTTTAATGTTTATCCCTACATACAGTGAGGGAAAAAAGTATTTGATCCCCTGCTGATTTTGTAAGTTTGCCCACTGACAAAGACATGATCAGTCTATAATTTTAATGGTAGGTTTATTTGAACAGTGAGAGATAGAATAACAACAAAATAATCCAGAAAAACGCATGTCAAAAATGTTATAAATTGATTTGCATTTTAATGAGGGAAATAAGTATTTGACCCCTCTGCAAAACATGACTTAGTACTTGGTGGCAAAACCCTTGTTGGCAATCAGAGGTCAGATGTTTCTTGTAGTTGGCCACCAGGTTTGCACACATCTCAGGAGGGATTTTGTCCCACTCCTCTTTGCAGATCTTCTCCAAGTCATTAAGGTTTCGAGGCTGATGTTTGGCAACTCGAACCTTCAGCTCCCTCCACAGATTTCCTATGGGATTAAGATCTGGAGACTGGCTAGGCCACTCCAGGACCTTAATGTGCTGCTTCTTGAGCCACTCCTTTGTTGCCTTGACCGTGTGTTTTGGGTCAGCTGGCTTGAGATCATTGACAAGATCCTCCCGTGTAGTTCTGGGCTGATTCCTCACCGTTCTCATGATCATTGCAACTCCACGAGGTGAGATCTTGCATGGAGCCCCAGGCCGAGGGAGATTGACAGTTCTTTTGTGTTTCTTCCATTTGCGAATAATCGCACCAACTGTTGTCACCTTCTCACCAAGCTGTTGGCGATGGTCTTGTAGCCCATTTCAGCCTTATGTAGGTCTACAATCTTGTCCCTGACATCCTTGGAGAGCTCTTTGGTCTTGGTCATGGTGGAGAGTTTGGAATCTGATTGATTGATTGCTTCTGTGGATAGGTGTCTTTTATACAGGTAACAAGCTGAGATTAGGAGCACTCCCTTTAAGAGTGTGCTCCTAATCTCAGCTCGTTACCTGTATAAAAGACACCTGGGAGCCAGAAATCTTTCTGATTGAGAGGGGGTCAAATACTTATTTCCCTCATTAAAATGCAAATCAATTTATAACATTTTTGACATGTGTTTTTCTGGATTTTGTTGTTGTTATTCTGTCTCTCACTGTTCAAATAAACCTACCATTAAAATTATAGACTGATTATTTCTTTGTCAGTGGGAAAACGTACAAAATCAGCAGGGGATCAAATACTTTTTTCCCTCACTGTAGCTAAATACTAAGCAATCCCAGCTCTATATGGTCCTAGCTGTGTGGATATATAGCTGTAGCAGTATATGTTATGACCCCCCAAGCCCAGTTCTATATGGTGCTGCTGTTTGTTGGAAATATAGCCTAGCTGCAGCACTGTATAGTATGGCTCCTAGCTGCATGCAAATATAGCTGCAATGTTACGGTATGGCAATATGCATGGCTGCTGCGTTAGAGGTGACGAGGGATTGGTGTATTTCAGGCCGTGTGGGCCCTGGGGAACATCGCCGGGGATAACGCAGAGTGCAGAGACTACGTTCTCAACTGTGGCATCCTGCCCTCCCTACAACAGTACGTGTGTGTGTGGAGGGTTTTGTCAGTCTGTAGGCCCATGTCGTTTTAACAAGGAGAAGTTGAGTTTAATACCATTACCTAATACATTGTATAATCAGATTAGTCAGGTTTAACAGTTTAATTGCAGTCAGAGAAACAAGGCGTACTGAAAACTGTTCTCTGCCCCCGCAGGCTGCTGGCTAAATCCAACCGTCTCACCACAACTAGAAATGCTGTATGGGCTCTGTCTAACTTGTGTAGAGGGAAGAACCCCCCTCCAGACTTCGCCAAGGTAATAGGGTGGATTCCCACACTGCCCAATCAGACGACAGTTCTAACAGTCCAACAGATCTCAGCTGTCAAATGCACAAACCGCTCTTGGATTTTGACCAATTTCTCCCAAAGCCATTCTCTTAGCTCTCCTTTCACCATTATCCCTCTTTCTGTCTTTCTTCCTCCTCGCTCTTCTCTTATTCTCTTCTCCCTCGCTGCTCTCTCTCTCCCTCCCTCTTCTCCTCCCCCAGGTGTCTCCCTGTCTGAGTGTGCTGTCCAGGCTGCTGTTCAGTAGTGACCCAGACGTGTTGGCTGATGCCTGCTGGGCCCTCTCCTACCTGTCTGACGGACCCAATGACAAGATACAGACTGTCATCGACTCTGGGGTCTGCCGCAGACTGGTGGAGCTACTCATGTAAGGACTACTAGAGACACACACACAAACAAACAAGCAAGCAATTGAGATGTTGGTGTACACTGACTGTGGTGTTGTTGGTCTTCCCCAGGCACAGTGACTATAAGGTGGTCTCTCCTGCACTACGTGCTGTGGGCAACATAGTGACAGGAGATGACATTCAGACTCAGGTAGAACTAGTTTTTATTTTCTTGCTACCTCCCCATAGCTTTGTCTCTCTCTTCACCCTGATGTGTGTGGAGTTTTGATCCTTCACATGGTCCTAGCTGTGTGTGTGGACTGGTGTGTAATCTTCACTGTGTGTGTGTTGATTGTTCCAGGTGATTCTGAACTGCTCGGCGCTGCCCTGCCTATTACACCTGCTCAGCAGTCCCAAGGAGTCCATCAAGAAGGAGGCCTGCTGGACTGTGTCTAACATTACAGCTGGAAACAGAGCACAGATCCAGGTGTGTGTGCGTACCCGTGCTTGATGGTAGCACAGTGTTTTAAGTAGTTGTCTACTTAAAACGCGATAAAACGTCACAATAAGGTGCAGAGCGTTTGATTTGGCTGCTGGGGGTCAAGGAGACCACCAGCTCCGCTAAAACCATTGACAACTACATGCCGTTTTCAAGGGATTGTTAAAAAATGTTAACTCTGGTTGTAATATCATCCTCTTAATGGTGGCCAATATTGAGGGATATTGTGAGGCTACCATGATTACATGATCAATGGATGTTTACTGATCATGAAAAGCATGCAGTTACTTGCTGTATAACTCTGATAGAGCTAATTTTGAACAATTGTTTTGCATGGAATAATTGGAACGGTGTAGTTCTGACTATGCTCGTCAAGAGGTTATGATATTACATCCAAATAGTTATAACATGTATTTATCAATACCTTTAAAACTGCACATTGTTGTCAATGGTTTTAGAGCAGCTGGGGGTCTCCAAATCGAACACTCTGCACCTTATTATAATGTTTTATTGATAACGACCTATTGATGTGTGTGTATAATATGTCATCTCACTGTTCTCTCTCTTTGTTCCTCAGACGGTGATAGATGCCAACATCTTCCCAGTCCTGATAGAGATTCTTCAGAAGGCAGAGTTCCGCACCAGGAAGGAAGCAGCGTGGGCTATAACCAACGCTACCTCTGGGGGCACTCCTGAGCAGATCAGGTAATAACGCTCATCGAATTCTTGAAAATTTTGGAGATGTGCTGCTTACACAAAGATTTCATGAAATGAGTGGGAGTAGTCTCATGCTCGGCAGAAGTTGTTCTAGTGTAGCAGGCCTGTATGACCGTATCTCTGCTAAACCAATAGAACAAATGTGAATATAATGTCAATCTAACACTGTCTGTCTTGCTGTCCCTGTAGGTACCTGGTTAGTCTGAACACCATCAAGCCCATGTGTGACCTGCTGACAGTGATGGACAGTAAGATAGTGCAGGTGTCTCTGAACGGCCTGGAGAACATCCTGAGACTGGGAGAGCAGGAGGCCAAGCAGAACGGCACCGGCATCAACCCTTACTGTGCCCTTATAGAGGAAGCCTATGGTATGATACAGTGGGGAAAAAAGTATTTAGTCAGCCACCAATTGTGCAAGTTCTCCCACTTAAAAAGATGAGAGGCCTGTAATTTTCATCATAGGTACACGTCAACTATGACAGACAAATTGAGAAAAAAATATATCCAGAAAATCACATTGTAGGATTTTTAATGAATTTATTTGCAAATTATGGTGGAAAATAAGTATTTGGTCACCTACAAACAAGCAAGATTTCTAAGCACTCTAGCAAACTTCAGACGGGCCTGGACATGTACTGGCTTAAGCAGGGGGACACGTCTGGCACTGCAGGATTTGAGTCCCTGGCGGCGTAGTGTGTTACTGATGGTAGGCTTTGTTACTTTGGTCCCAGCTCTCTGCAGGTCATTCACTAGGTCCCCCCGTGTGGTTCTGGGATTTTTGCTCACCGTTCTTGTGATCATTTTGACCCCACGGGGTGAGATCTTGCGTGGAGCCCCAGATCGAGGGAGATTATCAGTGGTCTTGTAGGTCTTCCATTTCCTAATAATTGCTCCCACAGTTGATTTCTTCAAACCAAGCTGCTTACCTATTGCAGATTCAGTCTTCCCAGCCTGGTGCAGGTCTACAATTTTGTTTCTGGTGTCCTTTGACAGCTCTTTGGTCTTGGCCATAGTGGAGTTTGGAGTGTGACTGTTTGAGGTTGTGGACAGGTGTCTTTTATACTGATAACAAGTTCAAACAGGTGCCATTAATACAGGTAACGAGTGGAGGACAGAGGAGCCTCTTAAAGAAGAAGTTACAGGTCTGTGAGAGCCAGAAATCTTGCTTGTTTGTAGGTGACCAAATACTTATTTTCCACCATAATTTGCAAATAAATTCATTAAAAATCCTACAATGTGAATTGCTGGATTTTTTTCTTCTCATTTTGTCTGTCATAGTTGACGTGTACCTATGATGAAAATTACAGGCCTCTCTCATCTTTTTAAGTGGGAGAACTTGCACAATTGGTGGCTGACTAAATACTTTTTTCCCCCACTGTACGTGCGCACATACACACACACACCATAAAATAATGGGACAGGCATCAACCCTTGGATGTACGCTTAATTCTGTATCGCCACCTTCTCCCTGAAATGGGCACTCATACACTCCCCCTTGTGGATTTATAAGGAATGCACTGACGTAAGGAGGGAGAGAGAACGATTGCACTCTTCAGGGAGAAGGAGAAATGTCATTAGGCTATGCATAAACACTTTAGCCAGTGGTATGCACACACTGTTCCACTAGATGGCAGTAGATATGTTGCTGTGAAGTGAAAAGTGTACTCTGTAGTTCTTATCTCAAGAGATGTGAGGACACATGCTGCCAAATTTAAACACCATTAGTTAGTGGTTATGACTCAGTATTGTCATGTGAGTCACTAATGCCTAGGCCTGATTTATTCATTTGTGTGCATGTGTGTGTCCACTGGCTTTTCTTACTAGCACTGATTTTGCTGATGGCTGCTTTATTGAGGAAAGTTTTATTTGCAATGATTGTGATCTGTGGATGTCGTACCACCTTAGTTGAATGCACTGACTGTAAGTTGCTCTGGATAATAGCATCTGCTAAATTACCTAAATGTAAAAATGTCCACTGCAGGTCTGGACAAGATAGAGTTCCTGCAGAGCCATGAAAACCAGGAGATCTACCAGAAGGCTTTTGACCTGATCGAGCACTACTTTGGTGTGGAGGAGGAGGACGCTAGCATCGCCCCTCAGGTGGACCAGAACCAGGGCCAGTTCATCTTCCAGCAGCAGGACGGGCCCATGGAGGGCTTCCAGCTCTAACCACACCCTGACCTTTGACCTTCGCCCCTCTGAGTATCTACTACCCCCCCCCCCCCCCCCAGAGATTCCAGCCTCCGTAGGGCTGTTTAGAACTGAACTGATGACACTACCCCATCTCTCCTCTCTCACTGGACCCACCAGCTCCACCTCTCTCCAAATCTTCATCTCCCTAGGCTAGCCTTGCCCTGCCACACCACCCTATCTGGATAGAGAGTGAGCACGAGACGGAGAGCCTGACTGACTGAAAGACTGACTGACTGAGGACAGCTCATTCTCAGTGTTTGAGACTTGTCCCCAGCTTCCTGGAGCTGTATGGAGCATTTGGGTTGTTTCTTTCTGTTGTAGACAATACAGTCTGTGCAGTGGCAAGCCTCCTAACATGGTAGGCATATGAAAGAAAGAGTTGGCTGATATTTTTCTTACTCCCTAAATGTCTTTTTATTTTATTATAATTATTTTCTGTGATATTATTATAATAATACATTATTATTATTATTATTACAACGACACTGGTGTCTCAATCACCCTCCATATCTCCTTTTTAAATGTGAAACTACCTCTTCAGTCTTCAAAAAGAAAACAAAAGATATGAACATATGAAGCATTTGACTGAGGATTCTCTGGATTTCACCAGATAGTCCAAGTAAAACTATCCCTACTAGTGTCCTGAAGAGGTTTAGTGACTGTATCAGCTCATTTCCTAACTTGTTGTACCTTTTGACCAGAGCTGAGAGAACGCTAGGCTACAGACGGCCTACTGTTTTCGGTAGAAGATGTACATTGTGTCATGATGGTAATGATGATGTGTGTATTTCAGTGACATATTATTTTTTAAGTTGGAAAGCAGCTGCACATCTCTTTCTCTGCACATCTCTTTCTCTGGGGTCTCTCCTATGTTGAAAATGGACTATGGTTGACCTGGAGATTCCTAATCTTATTTATTATGTTGAAATATCTTTCTGCTAATTTGAGAGAGAGATGGTCAAAAACTGTAATAATTATTATCTGCTCCTCTCCACTGCTTAGCCCTGGCTGCAATATTAACGTTAGAATAACATTCAGGACACCAGTTGCATCAAACTGACTGCAGTAATGTAGATACATAGTGTAGAACAGCACTGCATGTAACTTGCTGCATTAGTCAGCATAGCGTTCAGCCAGGCTTATGCTTTTCTGTAACAACTTTCCGGTAGGATTGGGACAACGTTAGGGTAACGTTGAGGAGTGTTCTGCTTGTGTGAGTGCTCCTTATTGAAGCGCTGCCAGCCAGCCACAGTACAGGGCCAGACGGGTTAGGTTCAGTGACTAGCGTCTTTATGTGATGCAGTGTCTGTCTGTAACAATCTCCAGGTGAATAAAAACCCAGGCTCTCAGAGTTCTTTTGTAGTTGTTGTTTTTTCCTTCATCTCACCATGAGTTATTATGATATCATGACTTATTTGTTTTTCCTGCAGTCTTTTTGTTTTATCAGTGGTGGTTAATCTTGCATTGGACTTACTTAACGCTATTGGACGTTGATAGAAAATGCTCAGTTGAACTCGAGTTGCTCTGTATATTATATATACATGTAATAAATGATATGGGGGGGAAAAATACCTACTAATTGGAAGGGGTGATTAATTAAATGCAGTATAATGTGTTTTCTGACTGAGATATGCTGTGGTGTTGTACTTATGGTTGAGTCTTTGCACACTTATCTGTTGCTGCTTTATTCTGATATTCTGTTGGTCATGTTTGTCTCCTCTGGTTCCCCTCACCTTTAGAACTGCTTCTAGAATGTTTTGTTTAGAACAGCTTCTAGAAAACTTTTTGATTTTAATTGTTTATTAAAAATGATATGAACTCTTGATTGGTGGAGGAAACCCAAACTGGCTATAGGCTCAGCAGTTCATGCTGAGCCGTTAAGTGTGTGACCACAAGCACAGTATTTCAGCATTCTACTTTTCTTTTAGTTTTAATCTCATCACTCCTGAAACCTGGCTCTTTACTTTTGGCATGTTATGTTTTTGAAAATTGTAGATTCTGTATACATTTTGAGTACCATATTAATTGATCCAAGGACTTAAATTATATATATTTACGTGAGATGGAAACTGTTTGTAATGCTACATTTTGTCATGCACATTAAAAATGGTGTATAGTTTTCTAATATTTCTCATGTTTGTACGATTGGATGATATGTTTTATGTTGATTTATTTCTCCCCCATTTGGGAATTGTTTTTTTCGTTTTGGCTTTGATACAGAGGCTATAAGGACTGCTGTGGTATTCTGTCCAGAATCCTCTAGTGTAGGTGATTACCGGATGGTGCCGCCATTGTGGTTCTCTTTACTTTAACCCAATGGACCACAGAGGGCTGTGTGAAGCTGGACTAAACAGCTCCTCTCTGTGTTACTCATGGAGCTGTTGTCTGGCTCTCCTTTGAGGAATTAATGTCGACTTGACTAAAATAATGAAATAAAATGATCTGTTACACAAGGCCTCTTGTCGGCTGGAATATAGGGGATTTTGTCTTCAATTATGGTTTTGACAGAACTTATCTGTTCAATTCTTAAGAATGAAACACACACGACCTTGTCTAGCCTGTTACATTTCCTCATGGTGACTAGTAATGACTGTTACTGCAGCTGGTTTTAGAAGTCTGGTCCTGGCCCTGTTATCAGAACATCTTTGTCTGAGGTAACAGTGCATATATTACCTGGAGGCATTAGTCCTATGTGTGACTGCTAGAAGTACAGTGCCTTCAGAAAGCATTCACAGCCCTTGACGTTCTCCAATTTTTTTGGGTGTTACACACTGAATTTAAAATGGATTAAATTGAGATTTTGTGTCACTGGCCTACACACTACCCCATAATGTCAAAGTGGAGTTATGTTTTTAGACATTTTTAGAAATTAATTAAATATGAAAATCTGAAATGTCTTGAGTCAATAACTATTCAACCCCTTTGTTCTGGCAAGCCTAAATGAGTTCAGGAGTATAACTTTGCTGAAGTCACACAATAAGCATGGACTCACTCAGTGTGAAATAATAGTGTCAAACATTATTTTTTTATCACTACCTTATCTCTGTACCCCACACACAGTTATTTACGTCATTTAGCAGACGCTCTTATCCAGAGCGACTTACATGAGCAATTAGGGTTAAGTGCCTTGCTTAAGGGCACATCGACAGATTCTTCACCTAGTCGGCTTGGGGATTAGAACCAGCGACCTTTCGGTTACTGGCACAACGCTCTTACCCACTAAGCTACCTGCCGCCCCAGAATTATATGTAAGGTCCCTCAGTCGAGCAGTGAATTTCAAACACAGATTCAACCTCAAAGACCAGGGAGGTTTTCCAATGCCCTGCAAAGAACAGCACCTATTGGTAGCTGAGTAAAAAATGCAGACATTGAATATCCCTTTGAGCATGGTGAAGTTATTAATTACACTTTGGATGGTGTATCAATACACCCAGTCACTACAAAGATACAGGCGTCATTTCTAACTCAGTTGCCGGAGAAGAAGGAACCGCTCAGGCCAATGGTGACTTTAAAATAGTTCGAGTTGAATGGCTGTGATAGGAGAAAACTGAGGATGGATCAACAACACTGTAGTTACTCAACAGTACTAACCTAAATGACAGAGTGAGAAGAAGGAAGCTTGTACAGGATAAAAAATATTCCAAAACATGCATCCTGTTTGCAATAAGGCACTAAAGTGGTCCTCTGTAGCTCAATTGGTAGAGCATGGTGCTTGTAACGCCAGGGTAGTGGGTTCGATCCCCGGGACCACCCATATGTAAAAATGTATGCGCACATGACTGAAAGTGGTTTTGGCATATTTTTATTTATTTTTTAGAAGTAAAACTACAAAAAATGTGGCAAAGAAATTAACTTTATGTCCTTCATACAAAGCATTATGTTCGGGGCAAATCCAACACAACACATCACTAAGTACCACTCTTCATATTTTCAAGGTGGTTGTGGTTGCATCATGTTATGGGTATGCTTGTCATTGGCAATGACTAGGGAGTTTTTTTTAGGATAAAAATAAACAGAATAGAGCTAAGCACAGGCAAATTCCTAGAGGAAAAACTGGTTCAGTCTGCTTTCCAACAGACACTGGGAGACAAATTGCTTACCAAGATGACATTGAATGTTCCTGAGTGGCCCAGTTACAGTTTTGACTTAAATCTGCTTGAGAATCTATGGTAAGACTTGAAAATGGCTGACAAGCCATGATCAACAACCAACTTGACAGAGCTTGAATAATTTAAAAAAGAATAATGAGCAAATATTGTAGAATCCAGGTGTGCAAATCTTACCCAGAAAGACTCACACAGCTGTAATCACTGCCAATGGTGATTCAAACATGTATTGACTCAGGGGTGTTAATACTTATGTAAATTATATACTTTTATACATTTTGAATTCAGGCTGTAACACAACAAAATGTGGAATAAGTCAAGGGGTATGAATACTTTCTGAAGGCACATATACAGTGAGGAAAAAAAGTATTTGATCCCCTGCTGATTTTGTACGTTTGCCCACTGACAAAGAAATGATCAGTCTATAATTTTAATGGTAGGTTTATTTGAACAGTGAGAGACAGAATAACAACAACAAAATCCAGAAAAACGCATGTAAAAAATGTTATATATTGATTTGCATTTTAATGAGGGAAATAAGTATTTGACCCCTCTGCAAAACATGACTTAGTACTTGGTGGCAAAACCCTTGTTGGCAATCACAGAAGTCAGACGTTTCTTGTAGTTGGCCACCAGGTTTGCACACATCTCAGGAGGGATTTTGTTCCACTCCTCTTTGCAGATCTTCTCCTAGTCATTAAGGTTTCGAGGCTGACGTTTGGCAACTCGAACCTTCAGCTCCCTCCACAGATTTCCTATGGGATTAAGGTCTGGAGACTGGCTAGACCACTCCAGGACCTTAATATGCTGCTTCTTGAGCCACTCCTTTGTTGCCTTAGCCTTGTGTTTTGGGTCATTGTCATGCTGGAA